CATCAGAGAGCCTGCGAGCGAAGCAGCTGCACCTTTCGCCAAGGAAAAGTGGCTTGCGTGGTAGGAGGGTACTTCCGAGCTAGAATCACCCATATGTGCGATGATGGCGTTGCCGGCTACCTCCAGCACTGAGACTGGCTTATATGTGGTCCTTCGTCGCTGCATCGGTGCAGTCCCACTCCCAACCCCGCCATGGTATGCCCCCGCCCCCTTCCCCCGCAGCAGCCTGGCCAGGCCTCTCATCCGAGCAAAGAGTCACATGGAGGGTGCTCCTTCGAGTCATCATCCTCGTAGCTGTCGACGTGTTTTGGAACTCCCTGTCACCCCCACCCCTCCCCCCGCCCCCCGCCACACAGAGACAGACAGACAGACAGACAGACAGACAGACAGAGATGAGAATGATGGCGATGATGCTGAGAACAATGGCGCTGATGTACTCGGTGCATTCTGGTATGCCGAGTGCGACTGTTCGTTGTACCACTGCTCTTCTGCTGTTGAGGTCTTACTACCTCTTGGGTACCGCATGTGCTTTGCTTCTGCTTGTTTCAATAGCTTCTGTGGCCTGCTGTATCGACTGTCATTCTATGCACACTTTCGGTGAGGTGCGTCAAAAGTCAGCCCGGGCATTTGCTTGAATGACTTTCATGCAGGACTTTTGAGCAAGGGTGCGGACGGAGATCATGATCACCATCTTCGCGGCATGGGCACGGGGCAGAATCCACACCACGGAGAACCACAGGGCGTGGCATGGCGTGGCGGGTGGGGTGGGGGAGGGGGTCTACCACGCGGTCGGGGGAAGGGGGTGTCTAGCAGCGCTTCACTGATATGTATTATGGAACTGAGAGTTCTCAGCTGCTTCTGAAGTTGGAGTGTGGATATCTGCAGATGCATTGTCTCAGCCCTGAAGCCGGCCGGCCTCACTGGGCTTCGACAAGCCCAAGTCCAACTCAAGGAAAATGCGCTGCTCCCGCGGAAGGTGGGCCAAATTCAGGCTCGCGCCCGTCGGGCTCCTTTGGATGCGGAGCCACCATGTTATCACCATTACAACATATACTGACGCCGGAAGGCGGTCGCACAGCACTGCATTCGTGACTTGCAAAGCCCCTCCCAAATTCTCGAAGAGCTCTGAGACCCTGGCAGCACATACGTCGCTGCGGTGGGATTCCCAGGCTGGTAGAGCTGTGCAGCAAAGCCTTCGATCCTGCGAAGAGTCGAGGAAACCAGCACAGAGCTCCACACGCCTGGGGGCTACTAGCGAAGCTTGCATCTGAATCCCCCTGCAACTCATAACTTGCCACCATTTCCCACCCATCACAGGCTTCCTAAACGGTGATTGATACTGCAGGTACGCTGAGAGCTGAGCAGCATGATGTGGCTGTCATGCTTCAAACATGAACAAGGTGTTACAAGTCTCTGCGATTCTGAGCCATCCTTTGCTTCGCGAGTCCCTGCCTCACAACTTTGTACATGGAGTCGTCTGCCTGCAGTGCAGGAATAATGAACTTTGCAAAATCAATAGGATCTGTCAAACAGGCATGTCGCGTTCCGCTGCGAGCCTATCCAATATCAATATGGGTACTGGTGCATGCCACATGTAAAATCGGAAGGCCAAACCTCGTTGAGCAAACCCCCGACAAGAAACAGCGCTTTTTCTGGGGGGATGGAACCCTCTGACTCTTTCTGCCCTGGAGAGGTTCGAGCCAAGGAGCGATGTTGACGGTCTCGCCCTTGACAGGCTCCTGCTCAAACAGCTCTTGAAGAGGCCACTGTGCCCAGAGCCAGCATTGCATTTCACCAGAGACGAACAGCACGGGCTTCTCAGCCCCAAAACGGCCTTCTCCAAAATCTCCCAAACCTTCTCTCGGAGCCTTGAAGGATTCATCCGTGGAGAGCACTGCCAGGCGGGGCAGCTCCTGGAAACATCGCATAGGCGAAGCGCAAGAGCCGGACAGGATGGGCACCGTTCAAGACGTCTCGCTCATCCCTGGATCTAGGATCTAGATGTTGGCAAAAGCAGATGAGCGCCGTCAACACAGAACGGCACAGCCCTCGGCTCTCCAGCTTGGCTCCGATGCCCAGGGCCTTGCTGCTGAAGCTGAAGGAGACCTGATACTTTGCTTCGAACACTCAGATCCAATCTGCAACCTGGCACCCTTCTGTCACATTGTCACTCCAAGCCCACACCTTTGCGAAAGTCGTTGGCTGACGTCAACTCTTCCCCGATGCAGGCAAGGTTCATCTTCGATTGACACTGTGAGGTTGTTGATGAACCTCCCGGGTTGTAAAGCTGCGCTGAGAGGACCCGGGTTTCCGCCCGCTTCGACTTGCTTCTCCTTCACAGTTCCGCCTCCGTGCAAACTTCATCGCGAAGCCCTCGTCGGCAGAGGCGAGGTCCGCTGCGGCCTCGGATCTGCAGGCAGGTGCAAGCCGAGCAATAGGGGGGAGACCCCGCATGTCTTCAGCCCTGGTGAAACGGATTCAACCGGAAGCGGCTATAGTGCGGCGCCTTCGAAGCGATTACATCAGTCGATGCAGTTTCTGTCTCCAGCTTCCAGTCGCAGACTTATCGACCGCTTCTGCGACATCTTTCACTGAGGCACTTTTCGCTGCTGCTCCAGCAGATTCTTGACCTGCAGGCTTTCCAGCAGGGGGCTCGGGCCTTCGAACAGGGGAAGAAAGAGGTCAAGGGACGACCGCGATTCCTCTTGTGGCACTCCGATTGGCCGAGGTCCGTTCAAGGACGTGCAACCCTGACGTAAACCCCTGGCATGCTTCCAAAATGCGGCCTCCTTGGGCGTGTGCATCGAGACTTGTAGTTGAAACTCCCCACCCGAAACCCTCCCCCGCGCTTGTCGGCAGTCAGCCTGCCCGGCACCGCAACTTGTGGATTCCCTTAAGGATCTTTCGACTGGAATCCATGACTCCTGCCTGGTCCATTCGGAGCTGGATGGCCTGCTGTTTCACCTGGCCACGTCTTTAGGGAAGCTTTCACCAAGACTGTAGTTCAAAGCGGCTGAAGTCTTCTCCGCGTGTTGTGCTACAACAGACCGCTTGCGCTCACAAACTATCGATTCCCAACCTCGCGCATCTGCTTGATAAGCTCTTCCTTGGTGCGCCCATCGGCGATCTGGTCCACCTTGATCTCTGCACAGGGTCTCTGCAGGGGCTATAGCGGACATGCGGAACTTCCGCATCCTACATCCTGCAAAATAATTCTGGGTTGCTGCCTCGATGTGAACGCCGCGGACCTGCACATGGGAATGCGCCCAAGCTTGCGCGCAGCTCTGAATCTGCATGATCATCTTGCCAGGGTGGGCACAACGATTTGGGCTCTGCCAGAATACAGGAACCAGCAAAATCGAAACACCTGAACTGACGGCTTATGGCTGAAGTCTTTCTGTGAAGATCCCGATCTTAAATCTCGGAATAAAAACAGCGTGCTCGGTCCGTCTTGCCGGCTGTGTGCCTCCAGCGCAATCTTTCCGGAGGCCAAACTGGACCAAGGAATCTGCAGCCTTGCATGTCCCCAAGGGGTGAATGAAGACGGTTCGTAGTTTGAGACCACGGCCACGCCCCCCCCTGAGCCCTGAAAGGCCTGATCAGCTGGAGGTAGCCGCGCTGTACGCTGAATCCGGGCACGCCAAGCAGTGCAAGAACCTCTCACAGGTTAGCTTGAGATGTTGTATGCAACTAGACATACGATGTTATTAAAAGGCTTCGCCGCACAGCTTCGAGCTCTCGGCCACAATGGATGCTGACAACGAGCACCGCTGTGATACAAGTTCGTACTTCAGACGGAAGTTCCGTCAAGCGGACGCACCCAAGTCCCACATGCATCTTCATCCTTTCAGTCATCTTTTGAGTACCATGGAGCACCATCGCGCAAGTTGCAAGAGTACATTTGTCAATGCACGTTTTGACTACTTGCTGGTGGATACTGCCGTGAAGGAATGATAGCGATGGAGGCTGCAAAATCCCTACCTGTGCATGCCGGAATCCCGGGGCGCCTCGGGCTTTACCTTGAGCTCTTGGAGCTCGATGCAGCCGTTGTAGATGCCTGCAGCGATGGGCTTTGACCCTCGAAGCGTGCATCGCGCGCCCCTCTACACCAAGAACCCGATACATCCGCAGCTGGCAGTACAATGGAGCCCGAAGCCCCGAGTCTCAAAGTCGGTAACCCCGGCAACTGGCCTCTGTGCAGGGACCCCAGGTTGATGCCCTCCAAATAAGGATTCAGGCACCTGAGTCATTGGGGCACCGACCTCCCCGGCTTTCTGCGAGCAGTTTTAGCTTTGCCTCTCGGGCGGCTCCGGGCCACTGCATCGGCAGTCTTGCTGCGTTTGGTCAACACCTCCATGAAGAGAAAATCTGGCCGGGGAGCTGTAAAATCAGCTGCTCCAACGCTTCCTGGAAAAGAGAAGCTGGTGGGCGTTTTGGACATTCTCAGCAAAGATCCCGGCGGTGTGATCGAGTTTGACGCATCGGCTTCAGTGTCAAGTTTTCTGTACTGCTAATAGCTTTTGGTTTGGGAACCTTCTCCTACTGGATCGGTGCAAGGGTTTTGACCTGATAAACGCTGTGTTCTCCTGGGGAAGACTTCCATGATAAACTCCATGTTCCCGGGCCCAAAAACCCCAATCCATCAAACCAAACAACAGCGGCTCCTGGAACATGGCAGGCTCTTGCTGCGCTGTGTGCCAGGTGCAGGAATGCGCCCAGGATCGACAGGACTTTCTATGTTTTATAAGTTGATTCTTGGAGCCAGCGCCACGCGAAAGTGCACGCATCTTGCGTCAAGGGAGGTGGCGCAGGTGGGAGCATGCAGCTGCCACAAACATCGTAACATGACAAGTTGCGGCACAACTGCGGAATGAGAAACCCATGGTGTTGGTTCGAAGCTTTGGGGTCTCATATCCGACCGGATGACTGTTGCTTCGGTCTAACCTTAGAACCAGCTTCCTCCTTCAAGTTGTCGGAGCCCCTAACCGCAGGGCCCCGGCACGGCCAAGCAGAGCGGCGGCCCGGAGGGCGCCCAGGGCCACGGCCAAGAGACGGCGAGCGGCTCGCGAGCGCAGGGGGACCTCGTCTTTGGACCCTTTTAAGCGGTCCCAGGGAACACCTGCCAGCGTTCTGCTTAAGGAACCCAAGGTAATCCGAACACCTGCAGCCCTCTTCCACGCAGTGTCGAGCTCCTGCGATCTTTTTTGATGGTGGGACGCGCTGGGCATCTCCATGGCTATGCCATGTGGGGAGCCGGTAGCGGCTTATCGCTAAACGCTTGAGGTTGGGACCGGAAATGTAGCTTTGACAAAAACATTCGAAGCAGCGTCCCAAGCTCCGGCGGCTTTTTAAGTACATCGCTTAGACTCATCCTCACCCTACTTGCGCCTAACTGTAGCCCACGAGTCTGGTCGGTGGACCCTGGAGCCCGAACGGCCTACATTGCCAATAAAGTGAGTAAGGTGAGTCTTCGTTCCTCCTTTGTACATAACCCTGCAGCAGGCCCTTAGTCGTAGTCTTCACCCAGCGGTGGGGCATCATCCGCCACCGGCAAGACCACCACGCCGTGAGCAGGCTTGAACTCCGACAAGCCTTCGGGGCTCAGCTGGCAATGCGGAGCTTGAGGTGCGGAGGTGTAGAGCCTGGGTACGGGTTTAGCAGGATCACGTAGCTCGGATCTGAGAGGGCATCTCGAGCACCATGGGCTTCAGGCGCAGTGTCTACGGATTCTGTCTTGGGGAGCGGTCGAGCACATGCATGCATTGCAGCACAGGCCTTGTTTGTCTTGCACACGGAAGGTGAAAGGCTGCTCCACGTCCAGCCTTTGATGCCAGCAGCACGCATGCAAAGCACCACGTCTGCATTAGCAACTGCCTTTCGCTGTCCTGAACCGTGTTTAAGGCAAGCAGCTGTCAAGTGCAATCATATCCGATATCCCAAGCCCCATAGCCAGGCAAGCGACAGGGTGTTGAGCTGGTCGATCTTCTCGCAGATCCGGGCCAACTCTTCCTCGCTGATGGCGCCACCCATGCGGCGGTTCTTCTGGACCTGTGATTCTTCCCGCAGGAACGATTGCCACACTGGGAGCAGACTCTTGCAACCCACACTGCCTAGAGCCCTAGAAGTACGGAGGCGAGTCGTGTATAAAGTTGACACCGTGGTGATCCCGAACTTGAAGATCAGCCAGCAAACATGATCGCCCAAGTTGAAGATGGCCGCGGCGATCCTTTGCTGTGGCTTCGCTTTGGGTGGCACTTCATACTGGACTGGCTTGCAGAAGTCAAAACAGAGAGCGAATGCCAGCATCCAGCACCCTTTAGTTGACGTCACGCTATTGTGTGTTCTCCACAAGCCTGCACCCATGGCTCAGGTTGTAAATTGTGTCGACACTTCGCCGGCTCTTTGGCTGGATGAGAAACTGGATCTCCGGGATCTCCACCTGTGCCGGACTGGTGATCTCACAAATCGGGTACACTTATGTTAGTGCAAGACTCGGCATGAAGGACCTCGAACTTAAGCCCGGGCAAACAATACTCCCACCTAGAAAAACCACGGAGGACCGACCTCAAGTCTTATGGTCTCGTTCGTCTTGTCCGATGTGCAGTTGCTACTTGCCATGACTCATGAGCTGGCTGTAGTGCTGCAGCGACTCAAAGCTATTCCTTGTTCGCGGGAATGGTCAGGGACGATTAGCTCTTTCTACTGGTAGCAATACAAATACTACGATTTGTAGTATTTCTGTTGCCTTCCTATCCCCAGCAGTCCTTCCATCAGGTCGATCCATACCCTCACCGTTCACCCTCTTCTCATGTATAGCGATCGCTTCGTACTGTTTGTGTTGCTGGAGATGTTGTTGACATTCACTCTTGCTACACTGGTCAAATGCGTTGCTCTTTGCTGCTGCTGCTGCTACTGCGAGCATTCATACACAATCGCCATTGGGTACTACGCAATCCTGTTCCTTGCGGAAGTCCGAGAACTGCAATGGGGCCATTCAATCTGCGATAGAACCGGCGCCTTGCCTGCGCTCGTGGCCCGAGCAGTACGACCCGCCAGAGGTGCTCGCGCTCCTCTCGGAGATGCTGGGGAAGGGGCGGAGCTGCCACGTTTTGGGATACGTCAAATCATCTAACCCAGGTGCTTTGGTTGGATTACATGTGCTTGCCGCATGTCTGCGTTTTCACTCACTATCATATCTGCTGGCACAACAAGCAAAAGCACAAGGACTTGGCTCCAAAGTGGATATGCAACATGGTCACAGCATCTGATGGTTCCAGATCAACTTCCGGACCCGCCGCCAGAACCCCCGCTCCGAGACAGGGAAGGTGAGGGACTGCCCCATGCCCGGCCTCGCAGGCGGCGTAAACACTCAATTCGATGCTGCGCAAAACCCTGGTCTTACAGTAGTGCAAGGACCGACACCACTAGCAGCGCTGGCGAACGTAGATACCGAAATGCAATACAACCGGGCTACTGTGGCCTTACCAAAGCTGCCAAGTCTCCGGAGATCATCCTCCTGGGGCACCGGTCTCATAAGGACACGGATCTCTGAATCCTGCAGACGACTCTGGATGCTGATCGCGATGTCATGCTACAATTCAACTACATCGCGACGAGCTGTGGCAGTAGCAGCAGCAGCCGCAGCCGACTGCTATTGCTGTCGCCACTCAAATTCCCAATCCTCGTGCTCCTCCTCCTACTACTACTGCTACTACTGCTACCATCACCACCACTACTACTTCTTCTTCACTACCACTACCATTACCACTATCACGACCACGACCCAAAATTGCCTGTTGCGCTGCCTGCAGCATGCGGTGGTGAGTGGGTAGCTTCCAATCCACCAAGGACCTGCACCATTCCAGATCATTATCCGGCGTTGGCTCCTCCAGCTTGCAACGAACTGCTGCCACCACGTACTCTATGTCCAGTTTCCGTTCTTCGTTGGCCATAAAATCGGCAACTGTTGCCTGGAAATTCCGGATGGAATCTCCTTCGTGTCGTCTCCATAGTTCTCGTAGTCTGTGCTGCTTGCCGCGGTTGGAACCTTGATTGCATGTCCTGCTCCGAGGTGGGCCCAACATAGGCGTCGGACCAGCTCACCACAAAGTTAAGGAATCGAAAGGACAAGGGCTTGCCCTCCGTGGTCGTGGCAGAAGCTGTGGTGGTGGGAGCAGTGCTGGAGGCGGCTGAGGCTGCCCATCGTCATGATTATCAGCCAGATGCCCAGGAAACGACGCATGTGTCCGGCAGCTGTTGCTGCAGGATTCAGCCACGACGGAGCGCGGCATCCACCCCGAAGACCCCGTAAGAAACTGCTTGAGTGTGCCCCCACGTCCTCGGCGTCCTCGCCAGGCCGCTGCACCTCGAAATGGGGCCTCAACTATCGCAGTAGGAACAAGGGCTAATGATAGGAGTTGCTATCGGTTTGTTGACCTCTGCACGTCTCCAGAGGCCCGTCTGCACCTCTGCCTAGAGTTTCCGCATGCAAGCCAAATTGGAGTTTGTGGGGTAGTCATTACCCTGTTTCGTTTGCCTCTTTTTGACAGTGACTCAGACTTGTACAGGCTTGTCAAGCCCTGCAGTGCTGGTCAAGAAGCAATGCGTCCAGAAATTGCACGAGGGGGCCACCCAACGCCTCCAACATTCACAAGGCTCACTCTCCGACTGCCCTCTCTCATCCTGAGGAATGCTGAGGACAACAGAGTTGTGTACCCAAGGGAGGGTGGGCTTGAAGCTTTAAGGGCACCTCCAGCTGCAAAGGCACATAGCGTCGCTGCTAACTGCAGATCTTACACGGTTACCCAACCTCTTCGAGTTCGTCCTCGTCCTCGTAGCCCAAGCTGACACAGAGGTTGCAGGTGATGGCGGACAACGCCACAGCGTAGTCTTCTCCTGAATACACCGGAAGGCTGGTATCGCAACGCAACGACTGATGACGGATCACGAGTCGCAACGTCACCCCCGATTGGACACGAGGACATCTGCTAATTTCGATGTTCAAGTCAATTTATATACAAAGCGTCACGGCCATGGCCATACCGGCTGCGTGACGAGCAGCGGATCCCAGCGTGAATAGCCTGAAAAATATCTTCGAGCTCATTCACGAACTGGGCCATCTCCTGGTCGGATATTGTATTGCTCGCTTGTCTATGCCTGATCAAGAAATCTCATGTAATGATCCACGCCACGCAATCGGACGAAGGGTTGCCCTAGCTAGCCCTAGCCTGGTGTCCCATGTCGATGGGCGATGCCGCCAGTGTGGCGACAAGCGGCTCTGCCGGTGCCATCACGTCGACCATGCTGCTTTGAGGGTCCTACCCCAAGAGGCTCGATCTTGGCTCACGGCTGCAGGGATGAAATGTCCGCTCAGACTGCCTGCGCCGCCTTATCAAGATGCAATCAGCACATTTCAGCACCGCCATCTAAGTGCTTCACACAGCGCCATGCAAGGAGCAAGCGCCGCAGCGTGGTCTCCCGTACCAGGGCCTCTGTGAGCGAACACCTCACCAGAATTTCTGGACTGGTCGAGCCAGCGACAGGCAACCAAAAGGCGTCAGGTGGTTTCATTTGGGGTGATGCCAGGGCTGAAATTGCACCGGAGCTGGAGCCGCAGACACGACACTGGGAGCCCAAACTCACGCATCCAGGCGCGCAGCAGCCGTGCCTTTTCTGGCGGAAATGACGTCGGCTAGGCATGCATGAAGGCTGAGACGAGGGAGCCCAGAACGTAGGAAGGTTGGCTGCTGTCTCTGACTATCTCTGACTATCTCTGACTGCTCGGAGGCTATCCACACACTGCTGTCAAGATCTTCTGACAGCTCCGATTTGCCCGAAAGAAAGCTCGAAGAGTCTCTCAGGCCCCAGACGACATGCTGGCGGTCCCAGGCACCAGCCTTGCACCAAGTGGCAAGCTGAGTTCAGGAGCACAGGGTCTGAGTCTGAGATGTGCTGCTGGAGCCTTTGCGAGGAAGCTCCATCGACGCAGTCGAAGAGACAGGCGCAGCTGCCTCACCACTTCAGAACTCGCCATAGATGCGCAAACCCTGAAGCCTGACCTGAACATATTTACCCAGCTCAAGATCATGACGCAGTCCACATACTTTCTATCCCGAATCATGCGGCCTCACTCAAACCAATCCTCGAAGCTTGTCAAATCCAGAAGCCTGCCCTCGCCCAACCTCGACTTCGTCCGGAAGAGATTCCAAAGCTGAAGATGGGACCTGCTGCCCGGGCCCAGCAATGGGATGTCGCTTCTGTGACAGTGTGCTCCCTGCTTTCTGAGCTATCCTGGCACGCATCACGACTTTCGTCCCCTTCCACCATTAGGCCTCAGCTTGCTTCTTGACCCGGCCCACTGTCGCCAGGCACGAAGACTCAGGCCGAGCTGCCTAGTTTGCACCTGACATGCATTGCTTGCGCCTTCAACTAGCCTAACTAGCCCTGGCATCTGACCTGGAACCGCAACCATCAGCCAAGAAATCTCAAGTCCGGCTGCTCCATGACTCTATGACATATCTATGACCCTGGCACGACGAAGCCCTGACAGTCGGCACGAGGCTCCGACCCTGCTGACTGCAGCAATCCAGCATGCCAGAGCTGAGCGCATCTTTGCCCGTCCTCGCTGTTCCACATGGGCCTCGGGGGAAAGGCAAAGGGGGCCCTTGCCGCTGTACATCGGCGCTATAAAGTGTCACAAGCTGCGCAAGCCGGTCGACCTACGTTCTCCCAACACTTCTTCTCTGCACTTTGAATGTGTCGCTCGGCCCACGTGCAGCGCAACAAATTTAATCGGCACATTGCCGGCACGGAAGGAATGAGGACAACTGGCCAAAGCGACTTGCGATGTCAGCCGCAGGAGCCCGTTCAGTTTCGAAACTAGGCAGCTTGCTGTGGCTGCGCACTACATACGAGTAGGAATGGAGTCTGTGCACTGCCCTTGCAACATGTCTGATGCGTACCCGAAACAGTTCTCACAGAAGTTCGCTCAAATCTGCTGCTTACGGCTCAAAAACCTCAGAACTGCGGCTATCTTCTCCCCTTGGCCAGAGTTTCCCGCACCAGGTTCCAGGCGGCACAGCGCCATAGTTGCAAAGAAGCATGCCCGAGCTGCTTGAGCTCCAAATAACCTTGGTGGGCAACTAACAGAGGCAGCAAGGGTGGGTCAGAGCTCGCCTTCTCTCTACATCTCGAAGCTTCGCGGGCCAGCAGCAGATTGCTCGGTGCCGCGACGCACGGTGCCATGAAGCAAAAGCCTGGCTGTCTTGGGACATCCACGAATCCACGAAAGCCCCCGAAAGCCCTTGAAGCCTGGACCCAAGCATCTGTATGCCTGCGTGCCACCCTCTTGACCACTAGTCTACAGCCTGAATGTACCACATCGCCAATGCTATAGCACCAGCCTGGCGCGCGCGGGAGCCCCCAGACAGCTCCCGAGCTGCATTCCAGCCATGACGGAGGCCTTGGTGACGCTACCCTACAGAGGCGAACAACAGCACAAACAGCCCGTGGCCCGTAAATCCTGTCGCATCTTCAGTTCGGCCGTGCGACGCAGAAGCCGCTGCCATGCCTTCCAGGCCAGATGGCTGCGCCTGGTCCTCGCATCACACGCAGGGGCAGGAGAGAGGGTAGATGAAGCCTTCTGCACAGGTTGGAGCCCAGAACAAGCTTCTCTACCTTCACCATCCCGAAGTCACCTGGTGAGGATTGCCATCGTGCTGGCCCGCTTGAAGGCCTGGCAGGACAGCGTGCCCAAACATGCTTCGCATGCAGGAGCCACACTCTCCGTTGTGAAGCAAATTAGACACGTAACCTGCATAAGATGGCTATTGCTCAAAGCTGTTGCTGCGGCGACCATCCACACCACCCCTGGCAAGCCCATCGGACCTGGTGATGCCGCCGCCACCCCTCAAAGCTGAGCTCCAGCCTGCGCTGCCTGCAACGTTCTCATCCAAAGGCCTATAAGCCTTAGCCTCGAGCTCGAGATGTGGCGACCTCAAGTCCAGCCCCGACGAAAGTCTCAGCGCGACACTGGGCTCCGCAGAAGAGGGCACGCCAGCAGCGAAAGGCCGACCTGGACCAGACCGGCTTCCGACGGGCTATCTTGGCAGACAGCGCATGGGCACAAACGGGGATGAGTGTCTTGGAATGATGAACTTAGGATTGAACCGATCAAGAACCCGCTTATCATCACTCTGATGTTACTGTGTAAACTTGCATGGGCAATCAATCTGTATATTCTGTATTATAGTGCTGAAGCCTGCAAGCCATTACAATTACCTTGTCCCTTAACCCAAAGTCCGAGCAAGGCCCTCCAGCCACCACCGCATTAGGGCGCAAGCCTGGCGAGAGCGCCACGACCACGGCTGCATCCGACCCAGGCGCGGACGCAGCGTCGCAACTTGCACCTGCGGGCCTTGGGTTCATTACATCGCTGTCAGACTTCAGCACTTCCAAGTGCAAAAAATACTGCATGTCGGCCGGAGCTTGCTTTCTCTACGTACCCGGCGCATGTATGTATGATATGCACACGTTTATTTGTGCACCTGCATGCAACACATAAAGTCTTTGATATCGTTAGTATACATGTCATGAGCTGTGCATTTCTCGCGCTTCTTGCCTCTCACCGTGTTACTTCGACACGAACCAAACATTTGCGAATTTGGAAGACTGAAAAACAGACTTAGACTTGGACGATAGCTCTTCGGATCTAGGGGCTTCAGAACTTGATAGCTTCCATGTCTTTGAAGCCTTGCTGATAGCTTCCGCCAGGAACGTCGCCCTCGAGGCCTCATACAGACTCTGCACCGTTCCCCTGATGACAGCGTAGGAAAGGCAAAGAAGGCAACCTCCTTCCAGCACCCTTGTGAAGACAGACACGTCTCAGCTGAGCTGTATGCAAAAGTGTGACGCATCTAGTTGCCTCAGGAGCATTCTTGTGGCCCTGACCCTTCGGTTACAATACGACAAGACTGCCATCTGGGCCCCGGCCGCCTGGAGCTTTGCACGCCTGAGATGTTCTGCAAAGCGGTGCAGTCAAAGGCAAACATTTTGGCTGGGACGAAACGAAGATGCTTAAATTCAACTACTTTCGTTGATTCCATCCTCGAATCAATATCCAAGTCCAGTTTCGTTCGAGCGGCCAGAAAAAGAACAGCCGTTTGCTCCGGCGCTGCCCACGCGAGATGCGAACCTTGGCGTGGACCCTGCCCAAGCCTCCGTTCTGCTTTGAGCTGTGTCCGGTAGTACTGAAACTGGGCTCTTGGATTCCCTCAGCTTCAGGGCTCCCTGGGCACCGGGCTGCAAGGCACCAAGCCTTCCAACCCGCCGCCTTCCTCTCAGCTGCAAGGAATCCGTTCAGGCGAAGCTGTCCTGGAGAATACAAAGGCATCTTCGGTGCAGCTCGGCTTTCGGCGTGCTTGGGCTGTGCTCGAGGCATTTGACATCACGGGACAACTATCCATCAGCTGCAAAGTGCGAGCTCTCCAACCTCGTGCCCCGAAATCTTAGCCTTATGCCATGCAGAAAACGCCTGCAAGGAAATGCTGACGCCAGCAGCATGCCGCCTGTCCGTGAGAGAGACGAGTGACGAGTGATGAAGACTGTGCCATAAAGTATGGAGAAGACTCGGACGGGAAGTGTTGCGGTGCTCGCCCCTGCAAGAAGAAGCACGCGAAGCACGACAGCGCTCAGATGCGGATGTGGCATCCAGGATCAAGCCGGAAAGTCAAGATATGGAAAAGTCATGATTGTGCGTGGCTTGCACCAAAACACTAGAAGCAGATACACAGCCTTGTAGTACTTATTTGGCCCGTACGCACTAATGCCTTGTTCGCAGTGTCGCTCTAGGAATTGAGTTTCATATGCAGATGCTGCGGCATCTCAGCAGAGATCTGCCTTCCTCAGGATGCGCTGTCCCGCCGCATGCCACAGCTGACTCGCTGCCAAGCGCCACCCCCGGCGCTGCCACCAAGTGGTAAAGCTTTCTTTCAGCAGGAGGTTCCTGCAGACATGGGACCCTCATGCAGCTGTTACGAGCAGACGACTTGATGTCGCTGATTTGACCGGACAACAACCACAGATGGAAGTTCTTAAGCCACCATATCATATCCAATGAGCCTACCTGGCTACAAGCACTTTACAACGGCCCCTTTGAACACATGTCAAGCTCATGACCCACAACTCGGAACGTCAAACTTTGCCTCCTTCCCCCTGCCTCCGCTCCAACGTGAGGCAGCGCAGTCGGCGAAACAAACAAGTGGCGGATTGCCAGCAGAGCAAAGATTGTAGGGCATCCTCGGCGACTCTGTCGAAGGTGGACCCTCTGCCCAAGCTCCTAATACCCCTCCCGGCCCTTCAGATTGTCCGGTGCTTCCCAGTTCCGTTCTCACCAATTTGAAACAGTCCAACCCTTCAGATCTACTCCCTAAAGTTCCTGAAACATAGAAACTCCGCGTGCTTCCAATAGCTCTCCAAACCTCACAAAGCCCAAGACCTGAACTGGAACTCCCAGACTCAACAGCAGTCTGCCCCATTGGGGCCTCCCGATGGCGTGCTGCCTTTCGCATGTCGAAGCGCTTCGCCCTCAAGACCTCCCGCAGTGTAGTGGCTCGTGCTGGATTGGGGCTACCCTGTTCATCCCACTTACACCCTGCAACTCCTTGACCTGGATTGGCAAGGCAAGTGTTCTTTGGCAGCACCCCTCCGCTCTGACACGTTCAGCTGGCTCGAATAATATATCGAAATAATGGCCTACATGGGCACCCTACTTGCAACACATGCGACATGCTGTCGACCAAAGCACAATCCACGGCCTGACGCCAAGCACGAAGGAGCTGCGCCGAGTGCCGCGCCGCCGCAGCGGCGCGCAGCCGAAGCCCGTCGGCCACACGCGATCTCGGCTTGGCTGTAGTAGTGGGCGATGTTCTGAAAGGATCACTCAAACTGTACTTGTAGAGACCCTGCAATCGTCTCGCCGTCATTCCCCCAAGTCCCAAAGGGACGGCTGTCCGTCCGGCCTTCAGTTCGAAACTGATTTCAAACAGGAGGCACTTGACGCATCCGCGTCTCCACAAAGAGCTCCGAGCAGCTGCTCCCACCACGCCCCAGACCTTTCGACAGCGGGTCAAAGTCTAAGATTCAGCCCTGCTTTGCAAACTTGTTCTTCCAAGGAGAAACTGCAACAGTGCTTCGAGAACCCGCTTTCTTCTCTTCTGTGCTGCTGCACTGCTTTGGGGTCTGCAGTCCGTAGCTTCGTGTTGATGACCTCATGAGACCGAAGCTGTCATACGGCTAGATCACTATAAATGCAACTACTGTTCATTTCGCAGTGACTACCAATTCTATCCACACTGCGTTCGGCGTCATGGTGTTTGCTGTCGCCGCAAAGACTACGACTGCAAAGGTCTCAGGCCGGGCGACCCTCGGATCGCTGAGAGGCAGAGGCCCGGCTGCGCTCCAAAGCAGAGCCGGAGTCCTTTCAATGATCGAGTCGCCGTCTTTTGTTTTCAGCTTCAGGGCTTGAAGGTCGTTAACCGTTAAGGCCCCACAGCATTGCATGAGCGTGCAGAGTTGAGGTAAGCTCGACCGCGGGGGGCACTTACACTTGGGGAGAACCTCTCGCTTCGTTGCGACAGTCACTGTCGCCACAGACGGTAAAGTGAAGAAGTGAAAGTGAAGGTCGTTAAATCAATGTTAAGGTTACTGTAGGATCTAGGAGGTTACGTAGGATTGTGGCTGAGGCGGTTCACTTCGAAAGGCTTTCACTGCGATTGGCCTTGCACAACTGCTCAGAATGATTGTGGGGAGCTTGGTGTGTCTACGGTCAAGGCCGAAGACATGCCAAAGACGCTTGCCATTGTGTGTTCAGGGCGCAGACTTGCTCAAGCTTGAGGACTGGCTGTGGAGTGATTGGATTGCGTGCTGAATTCGAGGAGGGACACCACATCTATTGTGAGGGACCTGTCACCTTCGGCGCAAGAATGGCGAGTGGAGGAATTCACAAGACCCCAATCGCAGTCCAGGCGCTGTCGAAATTGCAGAGATCTCCCATGAGACTGTGGGTGCTTTCTCTGCTCTTTGAGCGAGCTCACACCACAGGGTCCAGCAAACCCCAAGGCGCCACCTTGGCATGCGTAGGGCAGCCGGTCACATGACGGTGGCATTCGGCACTGCAGCCTCGCCACCTGGAAGCCGCAGCCCGGAGAACTTTGCCCGCACGCTGCACCTGAGCTTTGGCTTCGCACGCGAGGCGAGGCTACTTGCAGCTGCCGCCAGCCCAGGCACGGCCAAAGCACTAAACCTCCCCTTTTCTTCCAAAGCCAACAGCCGGTGCTGAGCCGGGCGGCGTCTTCACAGCGCCGGTGCCAGCCGCGAAGGACGGACTGGAGCCTCGCTGCAAAACCGGCGGCTCCGCATGTTACGTAGATCTGCTGAGAAGCAGTTGCCTGTAGTTGTCGTTGGCGTGAGGTGCCACACAATCGAGGAGCATCGAGGAGCCGTGCAACAGTGTGTTCTGCACGCATACTTGTGCCACGAGAAGCTCAAAACTGAAATTTCGAAGGCCGTGCGTTGGTGCCGATTCAAGAGAAGCGGGACTTGTTTATTTATACCTCTTGTTTATGCCTCCGTATGGAACAAAGCCTCAGCCATCCGCAAGCCCGAGAGCCCAGGGAGGCTCGCCCTCGTAGAGACGGGTTCTTACCTCCCCAGCGCTCGGGTGAGGACGATCCCTTGGAAGCCTGCGGAGGTAAGAAAGGTCGCTTCCATGTCAAGGCACAGAAGCGCCGCCTGCAAAGCCAGCTGCCGCCGGAGCTCTGCCGAGTGCTTCGGTGCTACCGGGCAGAGGCCGTGGAAGGCCCGGCGGAGGAGCCGCTTCTCGTGAACAGCGCGGCCTTTTGGGCTTTCAAGCGGCAAGCAGGTTTGGCACACAGCGTAGATGTCGTTGCATGTGGACTGCCGAGTGGCGCGAGCATGCGTCTATCCCATGTTGGAGCTCCGCTCGCCACGCCTTGGCCCCATATCTTGGTTCTTGTTGGATGATGCTGGTGGGGCAGGTGTTCTCGTTCTTGCTTCGGCACTGGATACTTCTGAAACGGGCGGTGGCGAGGTCACTGCAACAGGGGTCGGTGCATGATGGGTTGCGAAGCTTGCAAATTCGCTCCAACACTCCGATTCAGCGATTCCAAAGCTGGGCAAAGCATGCTTAGAACTATTGCTGTAGAAGTTTCAGGGCAGACACAGTATCTCTAGCTGGAAGGAACTAAAGGCAAGTCGCTCGCCAAGCGAGGCGAAGTTGATGGCAACCTCTTCGAAACCTCGGTCGTGAGGCATCCGCAAACATCTGAAACCCTGTAGGGGCAGTCGCTGCGGTAGCACCGAGCCTCGCCCAAGCTCAGATAAAACTAAACAAAGCGCAGGCTTCCCATCAAGCAGACTGGAGCGCAGGGCGAACGAAAGGTAGGGTCGCGGACAGCGGCGGGTTGAGGCACGGGGAACGGGGAGGGTTTTGGGTGATTCGCCACTGGCTTGTCTCTTGGTGTCTCTGCTCCAAGGTCTTGCGGCGGTCTTGTTAGTCTGACCGCATAGAGGCACGGTGTTGCCGAATAAGTTCCCGCCTGACTGCGTCCACGCTGCCAGATGTTAGCAGTAGAGCAAGTACGAAGTTGCCCAAAGCCGTGGTGTTTGCGAATAAGTTCCCGGCCCGGCAATGTTTTGGAACTAGGCCCTTGCAGCCTTTCTGTAGATTCGGAGGCCCTGCTTCCCACAAAAATGGGTCGGGCGTGACGGCGGCCATGCTGCTAGCTAGCATTGGGCTCGTGGCGTAAACGCCTTCGCGCGACCAGCATGGAGTGTTGCCGAATAGTTGGCGGCAGTAGAGGAAGTGCGAAGTTGCCATGCCATGCTGCCAGCTGACCTAGTAGCATCAGGTCTGTGGCGTAAACACCTCCGCGCGACAAGCACAGAGTGTTGTCAAATAAGTTCTCCCGCGGCTACGTTGGCAGCAGAGCAACAGCGCAGTTGCCCAAAGCCATGGTTTTGCCTAGCCTGGCCTAGCAGCATCGGGTCCCATGGATGGGGCCTTTCAGTCGGGGTGGAGCCGGCCCCGCCCCCGATGTAAACAACAACTCCCGCAAGCTCCAAGGAGCTAGCTTTCGTGAGTAAATCCCAGCATGGCACTGGAGTCTTTCGACCTTCAGAGAACATAGAGAACCCCATGCAGGTGGGAGCCAAGGTCAGGCAAGTGACGCCTGCCAGTGCTTGATGGTCAAGACCAGGGCGCGTCTTCGCAGAATGCCCTGCGGACAAAAGCGATGATTTCAGGAGAAAGACTGTGCTTCTCTTTTCAAGGGCTGCGCCGTCCGAAAACACGAGACTCTTGAACATCATAATTATGATCGAGATTCCGTCTGACTGGCACGTCGCTGAGATTTGGACGCCCGCTGAAGCGCAGTGCAGGGCCACTGCACCACGGCGCCCAACTTGCCGATACGGACGCTGCTTGAGCTGTCTGCTTCCGGCGTACCTTGCTTCGAATCATCGGATGCCAATGAGGCAGACCGAGATCTCGATGGCGAAGGCACAGAACGCAAGATGGATCGGAGTGGAGTTGAAGTTGGGGCCTCCACGCGCTGCTTGGGCCACGGGCACGGGGGCACCGGAGGGAGGTCCCTGAGCTCAAGCTCGGCGAGCGCCGGCTCGGGCTCCTTCGAGTCGCTGGCCGTGGGAGAAACCACTCGGATCTCCGAGAGGCTGGTGGAAATCTCGAAAGCACTGATCTCACCGCCGGTCTCAGGGTGGACATCTCGCAAGGTGCTGTTGGCCTCTGTGTCCTCTGCTGTGCTCGCAGAGACTTCCAGGCAGTCTAAAGCCTCCACGGCTTCGCCAGCTTCGTCCACGTTCTCATGACGACTTTGACCTGGACACTTCATACTGCGGTTCACAGTGACATACAACCCTGCAATCACAGCAACCGCAAATACTCCCAAATAACCGCAACCCAACTCCACGCCTCGCCACGCACGCAGCACAGCCGCGCAGAAGCTGACAGCCTGCCTCCTTCGAAACGATAGCAGGTCCCTGGTGATACCAATAGCACCACTTTCTCGCCAGCACTTCCAAGCAAGCTTCTGGAGCTTGAGACCTGACATTTGGAAAACGGGGCGAGGGCGGAGGGGCGCCATGCTGGATAAGAAGGGAGCTCGAAACAAGAAGCCGAGAGTGCCGAGAGCGGCGGCTGCATGCTTCTCTTCTCTCCGTGCATTACTTCCCGGTCCCACGACGTGTGCAAAAGCCCAGTGCGCAGGAACTCACATCACGTGTACAGTATCCAGCGGAAAAGCCAGAGAGTCGTCAGTCCTCTGCTCAGGCTTCATGTAGATTCTGGCGGCATACGGTGGGTTGTTAAGCCGCCAAGCAAACAAAGGTCTGCGAAAAAAACGAGCAAGACAAAGCGATGCCCCTCTACGTTTCCCGAAAGACGGCTGGAAGACTGTCTGAAGGAGATCCTCATCATTTCGTATGCTGCACAAGCGGCTGCACTGTGAGGCTTCAACTTGCACCGCCAGCTGCAGGTAAGAATGGCGCCAGTGCCGGCAGGCCGCATCACCGCCTTGAGCTCGAAGCCAATGCGACACAGCCGATGTACAGACCGCGAGCAAAGGCAGAAAACAAGCTTGCAGAAACCATCCGAGGCACGTCTCTGCTGGAGACGCCAACGGCGCCAAGTTTCGCGCAGCCCGGGCATAGCCTCCAGGTGCTGCTGTGCCTGAGGCTTTGAGAAAAGCACGGCATCGAGGTGGTCTCTCCAAATGAGTGGGAGTACGCCGATTGTATCGACATAAGCTCCAAACATCACGTATCCGGCGATTGCAGCACTATAGCGCTCGATCCTGCATCTGATTCTTCGCGAAGACTCGAAGCCCGGATGAAACTCGAAGCCCGGAAGAAATATTGAAACATGAAACGGCTCAGCACACAGCACACCCCACTGCCTCCACTTGGCGACACCGGCGCACACGTGCCGTACTCCGCAGCCAACTTCCGAAGCTGTGCAGCACCAGAGCTTGGTTGCGATGTGAGGTCCTGAGGCTTGTGACGCCATTTTTGAAGTGCGAACGTTTCAGCTGAGGACCCTACAGAGGACCCCAACCTGAAAGTGCGCCCACCTCCCCGCGCCTCGCCCTCAGGCACGCCTCGGCGAGGACGTGCCACTGCCAGGCGCCCAGCAGAGGTCGGAGACGGCGCTTCATCAGCCGGTCTTCAAAACGGGTCCTGACAAAGATGGAAGCTAAAGGCTAAAGGGGTGTTGTCGTGTGTCGTCAGGAGCAGGAGCTTCTGGGCTGCGATGGGAGAAACTTGCGCTCAGGGGAGGCATCGTCTCCATCGAAGATTCCGAGATGCATGGCGCTAGACAGGCTGGCTCGTACGCTGGCTGGTACTCCCAGGCCGCCAGACCCCAAGCCGACCTTCGCCAAAGCTGCGCGGAGCAGAGCTCGCGCCAGTGGAGCAGAAATTGCTCCAGGATCGCCAGATTTCGCTGCTGAACGTGCCTTCCGTGCGGCAAGTGGGAAGGCACCATTAACCACAACTGGTCGAACACAACCCGAACCCACACCAACCAACAGCGCGAGGCCTCAACACCAAATTACATCGGCGTCATATCGCGGTCACGATTGCAACCGGCTCTGTCAAGACAGCATCGGAGCTGGTTCGCAGAACAGAACGCGTCGCTTCACAGAAGTTGACAGCGCGGTATTTCACAAATGTAAGCTTCCGTCTCACAGCACAGTCCTGTAAACTTCGGCCTGGTTCAGGTCTAGCTGGGGAGAAGGAAAAACCCCAGAATGCCCGAGCCGCAAACCCAAGTTTCTGGCAGAACTGTTACAAGTAGGCCTCTTCAGACGCAACGCCACGGCAACGTGTTGTCGCCAGACAGTCACGACCTGGCGGTAAGGTTCTAGAGCGCTACACCGCCGAACCAGCGCTGGGGCCTGGCCGAAGGTAATCCTCGGCTTGACCACCTGTTTTGCCTTTGCTCTAGCTCATCTGGGCCTGACTCGGCTTAGAAGAGACAGACAAGCACTGGAGACGGGTGAGCGTTTTCATACGACCAAGCCAGAGATTCACACCACACCTGTTTATCAAGGGCCCAGGTCGTCGAACACCAGATCTTGATGCCAAATCCGCAACCTGACACCAGAATCCACCTGCATCGCAAGAAGCCTAGCCCTCACAGTCGCAAGCTCTGCATCGTCGCTTCACTGTTCATCCCTGCCAATACACCTGCCTTCTCGCATCGCGTCGCCTCCGATGAACGTGGACAACAATGGTAGAAGGGGTAAGTAAGGGCTCTGCAAAATGGGATAGGGGGAATTCGATGTCCTCATCCGGTGCACCGGCCCAGAAACTCTCAAGGGCAAAACGGCCCTCTCGATCAAAGCGAGGCCACAAAGTGCCAACGGAGTTTAGCTTTCGCTAGAGCCGGCGCTAGAGCCTAATTGGGCTGGGCCAACACCAATGCCTCCCACCCGGCACTTTGCACTCAGAGCTAAGTCGCTTGAAGGCGACTTCTCACGGCACTCGCGGTCCTAGCATGGCGCCGAGCTCCAGCTTTGGGCTTTGGGACATGCACGCTTGACCGCTTGAAGAACCCCTGATCTGACATCTTGGAGACCACACGCTCCGTGAGAATGTAAGCACCACAAAGGGAGTGGGACCCTGGATCACGATTCCACCGTTTGGGCTTGCCTGCGTGCCAAAGAAACGAAGCTTTCAACACCCCATATGTCTGGGATCTGGTCAGCTTAGCAGGATCTTGCTGACGTCAGACACTCCTCCTCCGCCGGGCAAGCACGTCCTTCGACCGAAAGGTCTGAGGGTCCGAGGCGAATGGGCATAGACACTTGCTTTTGGCCAGGATGAAGGGTTCCGCCATTCCGATCACTTTGCGATCCGCTCGACTCCGCCCAAGGCCTGCAACCCCCGAAAACCTGAAGTCTGCCTCTGCTTTGCCTGCCCAACTCGTCTGAACCCCGTGCTACTCCCTGCCCGTTCTCTGAGCCAGGGACTGCTTGCGAGCTCCACCACCTCATGGCTGCCTTCGCGCGCCGGAGCCGCTGTCGTTTCCAAAGGCATCGCAGCCTCTGCTCCAGCCTGACATGTCCCATTTGCGCCACTGCGAGTGATGTTCAGCCGATGCAGCCAGCCTGGTGCCTTGTCGCCATCCACCCTCAGTCAAAGCTAGTGTGTAAAGCAGCGAATTTGCAAAGAACATCCGACTCCCTGCATCCGGATTTCGAGGACGGCAGCCAACAGCTGGCGGCCACGTCGTGGGGCCGCACGCCGGCGCTGGGCCTGCAGAAGTAGAGACAGGCACGCACACTTTTGTGGGTGGCGATGTCTGTCATCCTTTCCCTCTCTGCGCGCGGGGAGGAAAACATGGAGTTGTCTTGCTCTGTTTCTCTTGCATCAGTTCAAGTTTAGAGATCGTAAAACGTTCAACATGTGTCGCACTGGAAAGACTTCTTAAATGCGTGGAGATTCGCACACCGAAACCGCAACTGGCGGGTCAGGCACGAAAGATTCGCGCACTGACCCCGCAGGGTATTGACCGGTTCGAGCACCAGGAATTCGCACCCGGACGTCGGGATTCGCCAGAGCCACATGCGGTAGGTTCGCGCCGCGACTCCAAACAGGCGAGTTTTTCCCCGTTGCGTGTCGCAAGTTTCCTGACTCGCGTTTCCTGACTTTCCATCATGGCAATGCTCTTCGGGGATCGGTAAGGTATGAATTTGAACAAGCCAGACTAATTAGTGTTGAGATTACCCAACATCTAATCTAAGCACCCCCAAATCCTCACCCCGAAAACTCGAAGCCACCCTTCACCGTAGAATCCTAAAATCTGAAACCCACAAAGGCGAAAATCCTAAGCCTAAACCTAGAAATCCCAAGCCCTAAAAGCTAAATCCCTGACTAAGTCCCAACATCCTGAAGCCCACACCCAAAATACCCGAAAACCGGAACTAAGCCCTAAAAAAATTAAGCCCTAACCCCCAAATGCCTTTCTCTCCTTGCCTGGTGATACAAACCCTGCATAGCTAAATCCGTGACTAAACCCCAACATCCTGAAGCCCACACCCTAAACCCTGAAACTGGAACCAAGCCCTAAAAGCATACAGCCCTAAACCCCAAACGCTTTTCTCTCCTTGCCTGGTGATACCACAAACCCTGAAAAGCTAAAGCCCTATCCCATCATCCTGTAGCCCGCACCCTAAACCCTGAAATCGGAACCCTCAAACCTCAAACCGAGTGCATCATTGGTGCTTCGATGGCGAGCGGCGGACTCTCGCATGCTTGCATCTGTTTTGGTGTTTGAATCGGCAGGGCTGGAACGCTGGCCTGCTTGAAGCGCTTCTGCTCGAACCGCTGGCTTGCTCAAATCGCTGATGCTTGAATGGCAGGTGGTTGCATCGAGCATGTGTCGCAGTGCTCGCATCGGGGCCAGAGCTGAGGGCTATGTCATGTGGGTTGTCCTGCGCACTTTCCTGCGTTGGAAGATTCGGTCTGCGCGTTTCGCGAGTGAGTAGGGCTTGGAGAGGTGATGAATTTGTCGCCAACGTCCCACACGGAAACTACGATAGGACCTGAGCACTTCCAAAGTGAACATGTGGCTTCGGTGTTGTGCAAGAGCCCATGTTTCACGGTGTGTTATTTGTGGCCGGCCAACCCTCAACCAGCATGTTGAGGCCTAATGTTGCTGTCATTGGCATCTGATGTCCTCCACGTTGACCTTGAGGCTGAAGCGCATCGAATCAGATCTAAAACGATCTTTGTGCCGAACGAGCACTGCCATAGCTCCGAGGTCACGGTGAGCCATGTGGGGGAGGGCGAGGAAACAGACAAGAATCACACGACTAACAGCTCGAACGCCCTTCGACCCTTCAGCATCGGGGCGAAGTCATATCAGTAGGCCACACACTCTGTTGCCTTCCCCAATCCCTCACCCTCCCTCCTGCCTCGGCTCGCGCAGCAAATTGCCAGCTCTTGAGCGCTCTCCTCGGCGTTTCGGCTCCGTGCAGCCGGAGTCACGCAGGACAGGAGTTCTACCCGGACCGGTTTCGGATCCCCAACGGCTTTAAAACCATCAACCAGAATCGGAGCGCTGCCTCATTGCCATTATCAGATAGTATCAGATCCCAGGGCCTTCAGTGCGGTGTGCAAATCTACAAACCCCCACAGCACGAGTTCTCCCTCTATGCCTTTCCCAGAACCCCAAAACCACCGGCCTCCGCACCGCCGGCACCAGACGTTCTTCGCCAAGTCGCCGAGCACGGACTCGCAGGCTCAGCTGCCGGCCTTGGTAGAGTCTTGCTTGTTTCGTGCCGTTGGCTATGAGGACAAGACGCTAGCCGCTAGCTCTGGCCCTCCATACACCTGAACCAATGCATCCGAGATGTTACGCGTAAAGGTCATCCACGAAGGGTTAATCGCAGGCTTCAGAGCGTTGATCTTCGAAGCCCATTGCTGACCGCTAACCCCGCGGAGCGCAGGATCCACCTGAGTTCGGCACGTGCAGCCGTCCCCCTGGCGGATGGCTTGTGCACTCTTGTGAGGCAGACCTCTAAACGAATTGCTAGCTTCATACGCCTCGCCGCTACTCACAATCAACATCTCAAGCCGACCGCAGCAAGCTAACGGGATCTGGCAATCCGCCAGACATGAGATCACGACATGAGCAGTCTTCGGCAACAACCTTGACAGGATGGCCAAGCGAGCAGAGAGCCCCGCCTCAGCAGGCACTTTGCAAGCCACCAATTGGGTCCGTCCAGGAGCGGGAGGGTTGAGAGTACTCTTGGTGTGTGGTAGCTGGCTTCAAGCTGGGCATTAAAAGCTCCTCCTACACCCCCTACTTCTGCAACACTACCGAAAACAGACTGACCATCAACAGACCCTGAAAGAAAACTTAAACAGCGCACTATCGCCATCAAGCCACATGAGGCCATGCGCCCAGTGAGCAGCTGCCAGCAGCACCTCAAGCAAACAACAAAAACTGCCAGAGCTGGCAAGGTGCTTGCTACAACGCTCGTCGGCGGAGCTCGTGTTGCTAGGGCGAAGCCTCCAAGTACACCGGCTCATGGCCACCCTGTGCTCCTGGTGCTGCGGCCTCCAAGCATGGTCATATTGCTTCTGCCCATCGGTTACCCTGCCACAAGCGAATTGAAGTAAACATTACGTTTGATCCATCGCACGTGCTGGATCCTTCGATAGAACTTTGGGGAGATGCGCGAGAGAGTACAGGAATGAATGCATCATTGGGTGATTGTGGTATGCAGTAGTAGTATGAACAGCAAAAGTACTACTACCCCGGTCTAGGGAGTACACAGGGCTGTCGTGCGCCGTCGCCGGCTCGCCGCTTTACCCCAAGCTGATTTCATCGCTCTTTGGTGTGCGACTTCGGAAAGCCCGGTCCCGGCTCACGGGCTGAACTCAACACTTCGTTGATGGCGTGGCCTTACGCGGCAGCAAGACGATGGTGGCATCCATAGCAATGCATGGGGATTGCAGAGTGACTTGTGTTTGAGTTTAACCGCATCTGCTGTATTCATGTCTCGACAGCTAGCGCCACAGCGGGCGGATATTCGGGGACAGTTCTTCTCAGAGCCTTTCAATGGCTTCGAACCATGGAAGAAGCATTGCCGGGCGGCTTTGCACGCAACATCAGACGACATTGCAGCAGTTGTCGCGTGCTGACCTCATCTTCGATGCACCGCACCCGGCGCCGGCCCAGAGGATGTGGTGGTTTCGGCAGGGTTTCCGCCACACAGTTCTCCTGGACTTCGCTGACAGAAGTTGCTGCGCCGCAAGTCGTGGGCTCTCTGGGTTCTGATCCATTTTGGCAAAATGAACGGCAGAAGTCTCTGTCTCTCCGTCTGACAATTCGACATGCCTGTACAGTGGTGTCACACGACACGATATAGACCCCTGAACTCCCCCATGCCTTGCTCAGGAGTGGAATAGGAATTCTAACCGATGGCACGCAAGGAAGGGGAGAGCTCTTCCTAGGGATCGGCACAAGCTGAAAATTGCGCAGGCCGCTTGCGGTAGGCCTGAAGTCAGCAAGGCTGACGGCCGTTACCGACTGCAGCTTCTGCGCAGAAAAATGGAAGGCAACTCAAGAGTAGACTTTAAGCGCCTCAAGAGATGAGAGCCAAGAAAAAACATCTGTGCTAATTAAAGATAGTAAATCTGTTGTTTGGCCAAAATAAGCTAGTCACCACCTTCCTTGACAATCTTGCCAATGCAGAAGTCGATCTTCAGCCACTCCGTTCCGTGAAGGATCTCCAGAGCGAGCAGGGAGGGGATTTGAATCAAGTACATGGCGAGGAAGGGTAGGGGATCATCCCCAGAAAGCAGGGCGTCGCCGCCCTTGAGCATCTGCAACACGCTGAGCTTGAAGCAGTTCTTCGGCTTCCAAAACCCGGCCAAGAGAAAGATCTGGTCCATGATCTGAGAAGGGCGTAGTAGGGTTTGGGGTTATGGGTTTACAGAACTAGGGCAAAGGATTCGCAGGACAGCCAGGATCGATCTCTCGTCGACTCCCAGACTGCATTGCAGCGACACGACACAAATACCTAAAGCAGCAAGCTGCTGCACCCTGACCTGCGCTACCCATCATCTATCCCCTCTGAATCAGCACCGCCCCCGTCCCATTACTAATGCCCAAGCAATCCCGCAGCCCACCCAGTAGCGAAATGTCTCAGGCTTGGATGTCACGATCTCCGCATCGCTCTCCGGAACGAAATCGGCATCAGCGAAGGCAGACGCGAGGTTCCTCTCAGGGATAGTAAGAAGACACCTGGCTTTAGAAATGAATACTCGCAGCCGCGGCGATCGGGACACGACGTCTAGCAATCAAAAGACAGGTTGTACAGCTATCCCGGTCCTGTGGCCCTCCAGCGTGCACACCGCGCTATGGATGCGAGGATTGCATTCCATGGGCACCAGCTGTCCATGAGCAGTGTGCATCAAATCCAGCGTAAGCTGCCCCGTAAGGTTCATGCTCTTCCTGGGCGGTTCTTGGGCCCTTGAATTGCTAGGTTTCTTGGTTCCTTCATACGCGTATACACGTATACGAAGCTCAAAAATTGTCTTGAACGGCCTAGCTTCCCCAAGCCTTTGCACAGATCTCGGACCTCTTCATACTGCTTCTGGAGCTGACGGTACACGAGGCACGAGGCTGCAGACTCAAAGAGCTCAAAGCCGGTAAGATGGCCCTTGTTGTAGAAGGCGTAGCAGCCGTACTCCGGCTCTTGCAAGACCTTCCGTTCGAGATCACGCAATCTTCACGTGTGGGCGACATGCAGGCAACGGGAAGAGCTTCAATTTCAAGAGTCAAACTCCGGGGATGCGCCTCTTGAATGACGTAGGGAACTTCCTTGGTTGCATTCCTGGAAGCGAGGTACTTCCACTGTCGCTCTTTGTCGTCAATAGGCAGGAAGAGAATCTCTGTGCGAGCTTTTGGGTCGTAGACGGCCGGCTTAACAATGAATTTCTTGTCACTGGGCTGAAGTGTCTCGAAGAACCTTAGCGCATCATCCAGGCAGGTCATGTGAGCGGTTTGCGGGCAAGGGAGTCCGGCATTCTCGAGCACCTGGTTGAAGGTGAACTTGTTGTCCAGCTCATCACTGGTCGGACCATCGAAGGCAAAGACACGAACGTTAGGAGGCAGCCTCTGTTTCAGGTGTGCGTAAGCCGTGCTTTCCACGGGAGCTGTGCAAGGGATGATGAGGTCGATGCTTTGCTCCTTGACGATTCTCTGGATGGTGGCCTCCCATTCTTTTGGATGTTTTGTCGGTCGAGGCAGCACGTAATGCTTGGACACGTAAGTGCAGAAGCGTGTATGGCAAAGCTGGTACGGCGAGATCTCAGCCGTAAAGACTGTGTGGCCTTCACGACCTACGGCTCGTGCCACTGCCGAGGCCTTGGACATCTTGCCTCCTGTGACCAAAATTCGCAATGGCTTCTTCGCAGAATCCCCCTTCTCAAAGGTTCCACCGCATAGCTTGTGCCGTACCCAGGAGATGATGGCCAGAAGCGTGAGGAACGGCGCGAATGCCCATAGGCACAGGATTGCCGTAAGGGACTTACCTCGCAACCTCCAGGTTCCTGCCCCACGTTCTGTTTCCAGGACCTTTGGGAGAACGTGCTTCTGCTTCTTCTCCGGCAAGCTCTTGGCTCCAAGTAGCCTCAGTCCATTGTCGCCCGCCATCTCAGGGTACGTTCTGCAATGCAGCTTGGAGCAGCCTGAAATTGCAAACAGGACGGTGCCAAGCTTCAGGTACAAAATACGTATAAAATACCCTCTGCCCTCGCACCCTCCAGTCCTACACCAATCCTGTGAGTCTCACGTCCTGTTTTGGTGCCTCTGCCACTAGTCACGGCCTTCGGCCGCCTCTGGATCGCCCGAGGAAAGCCCATCCAAGCCTGTAGAATCATAAGACCAAACCCCGCCGGGATTCTACTCATAACATGGCTTTGTCGAGGCTGCGTCTCGTGTGCCTAATCCCGAATGTGAACGGACCCGACGAGCTTTCCATCTTTGCGGGCCTTTGGCGACATTTGCACTGCCACGCCGTCACGCTGACGCAGCGCTGACGCAGCGTGTGGTTCACTAACTGCCGAGCCCAGGCCTCAAGCCCTAGCGGCTGGCACTCTTCAACTCCTCGGGATTCAGCAAACCAGATTCCGTCATCAACCTGGCTGCGCAATTCAAGGCTCCAAAAGTGCTTTCCCCGACCCCGACATCCCCGAATGCATAAGAAAACGGCAAGATCAATTCCTGAAACTAACAACTCTTCTTACGATCACCTCTGCAAGTCCGACCCTTTCGAAACAGGCCTGCCAAAGCTGTCAACAAGCTGAAGCGGCTGCAGGAACTTGAGACCTTAACGATGCTGGGAGCCTCTATAGCATTCCAACTTTCCAAGTGGCTCGAGGTAGAGAGTAGAAGAGTAGAGGATGCAGGATGCTGCGTAATTCAAACTTGATTGTACGCTGAGGTGCGAAACCCGACCCGGGTCGGAGCCATTTTAAAAGAAACGCATGCCTGCACATGAAGACGTTTCGGTGGCCAAGTATCGCTGCTGTGCACTGTACCGCTGAAGTCGTAGAACTACCAAAGTCAAACTTGCAGGAGCTCCATGTATGGGTTCCATCATGATTCCCCTTGTTCGGCTCCGCACACCGCCGGAGGCAAACTGCATCTCGGCTGCAAAGGGCAAGGGCCACGGCCTGCTTTGAAGATGCTAAGGCTAAGAGGGATCTAAGAAGCATCTGAGCGCGGTTTGGGCTTGGGCCCCGACGAACATGATGGAGCGCTTCCCCTGCAGCCCCGCCGCGAAGCAGTCCGGGTGCTGAGAGCGGGCGACACATGGCGACACGCCCTCTGCGACCGCCCGCGGGTTTGGGTTAGGCCCGTTAGACTCTCTGCGTCTGCCCTCTGCCCCCCCCCCCAACAAACTTTTGAGCCTCTGTTGACCGCGCCCTGGCGATGCCGATGTCGGCGACCTTCTTCACCTCTGCGAGACGATACTCGGAGGACAGGACAGGCCGTAAGTGAGAGACCTGGACCTCAACTCCGGCACCCCGGCCAAGGCTCCCGCAATGCCCTTCCGCCGCGCTGCATGCGCAATGTTCTTGGCCTTTGCCATCTGGCGGCATAGCACCGCCACTCTCCAACCACAAGAAAGACCAGAGCCCGAGACCTGGAATCTGCTGTTTCTACTCGTGTCCACTTGCGCAACCTGGCCTTTAGCTTCTCGAGACCTTGAAGACACAATACAGCTGTTGGTCGAGACAGCCGGCCTCTGGTAGACTGTCACATTGCTCGTAGAGGCTCTCCGCCTCAAATTCAGTACCAGTACGAGCTTCACGCATTTGACTGTAACTAAGATGCTTTCAGACTGCTTCAGCAGGTTGACTCTGCGCCTTTCGTAGTTCGAGGCCGCAGAGATCGCAAGAAAGCAATCTAACATGCAAATCCAATGGCAGAAAATCTTGAACCCTTCAACTTCAACCCAAAACTCCCAAGCACGGCCACAAAGCCCCCAACCCGAGCATGGTTCTCCAGTGCGGCTTGCAGGAGGGGCGCGGCGTTCGAATCCTCGGGCAGAGAGGCACCGTGGTCGGAGCAGTGGAAGGAGTAGTTCACTGTGTTGTACGATGGTGCGCATGATGTCTCGGGCAGGCCCCCCAAAACGTAGTGGACCCTCGCATCTCGAGCAGGAAGGCCGCTACGCCGCTACGCTTCTCTGGTCTCTCTCGCGGCGTGTTTCTGCAGCTTGTGACGGACTCGAGGGCCCTCCGCGGACACACCCGAACCGGAATCATCTAAACGCCCGCATCGATAGTCATGGAAGCGGGCACGGCGACTCCAGCCGTGAATCGAAACCGTCCCAAGGCTCTCACAAACTCGCTTCCCTCAGCTTGCCCAAGGCAGCCACCAAGTCCGATCCCCGCTCGAGGGACACGACGGGCACCTTCCCGCAAGCTGGATGCGGGTATTGCGGGTTGTTAGCGATGTGGCAACGGAGCATTCCACGGTGCCCTTAAACCCACGCTATCAATCATCAGTCATTCATTTTCGTTGCCGCTCCTCTCCCATGCAGAACTTTAACGGCCACCATGCGACCATGCGTCTTGATGCATCAGAAGACAAGGCCCGCACTCCGTCCACCACCTCGGGGCCATGGGGTGAGTGGGCGGAGGAAGTTTCAAGGGTTGAAACCTTCAACTCCAAGATTCAAGACATTTCAAGATTCAAGACCCTGCTGGAGCTCGTGAATGGCATGACTAGACTAAGGCCTCGGCTCTGCATTCTGCAGTGAGCGAACCGCGAAAGACTGTCGACTTTTCACCCGAAACCCCAAAACCTCTCAGAGCCTAAATCCGAAGTGAGCCCCGAGCCTGCAGCACCACGCCGGTGCCGGCGGCTTCCTCCTCGGCACAGATTTGGCAACACTCACAGGCTGCCACAGAATCAAAGCACAAAGAGGCACAAGATCGATCGCAAACTCGCCAGCTGCTCAACGATATGCCGTAAGGTGAAGCAAGAAAGTCTCTCAGATGCGGGTGATACTGAAGGTCTCAAACTTCTGAAAACTCCCAAGTGGCTTGAGCCGAGCGTCGTTGTAGGGTTCCAGCTTCCGTTTCTGACCTGACGCCTCGCTGGCGTTATAGGTCGCACCCCAACTCTTGTAGCCGCTGCCTCAGTTCAACGAGGACAGGCCGAATCCTCTAGGGACCTAGACAGGCTCTGACCTGCCAGATCGCTCTCCGGCTTTGTCGTTGCACTTCCGCATCGTGAGCATGAAAAGCTGAAACGTCCGACCTGAGTCTCGCCAACTGCTCCAGTCGCCGCGCTGCGGCTTGTCCTCGCTGGAAAGCCAAGCTAATCTCTCGAAAGGCCAGGAACAAGGCATGGGCTCGCTATGCTCTGCGTGTCGCTACGCAAAAAATCGTCGTGCACTGGCTGCTTCACGGTTAACGCTTTCTCGCTCAGCCTGCGTTTCTGGAATGGTGAACCTTTTGAGCACATGGCAAACTACTGCGATGCAGCACTCTGCGTGGAGGTACAGTCTGAACGGTCTGAACGACTCCTGCTTAAATTTAATTAACCGAGTTGAAACAGCGGAATATCATCGTCGCCACAACCACGGATGCTGTCGGGTGTGGCACTTGGGTTGCACGTGTTTATCAGTGACGGCTTACGTTTCGTCCATGTACTGGGGGCTTTGGAAACGTGTTCCCATGTATGCAGTCAATTAGTTCGGTGATCGGCCCGATGTCCGGTCCCAGCCCCAGTCGGCACCGACCGTCTTCGTCCACCTCCCCATCAAGCCTTCACCAGGACTTCTCTCGGACACTTGGAGGGCCGCTCTTGGGCATCTTTGCCTGTGGCTTCCTATGTCGTGCAAATCCAACCGGGCAGATGCTGGACAGTCAGCGAGGGGCGTTCTGCTCAGCTCTTGACCCGTAACCGGAACAACAAGCAAGGCCTGTGACGGAGTAGTTCCAGTCTTGACCCTGGCTGTCGTTCTGCTCATCCCAGCCTCCAGGGCCCATGGAGGTCTCCCTCAGACGTAGTCAGATTTCGAGTGCTAGTGGGGGGAGCTCGGAGGAGTCAGTGCAGACATCTCATCATGTCACATTCAACGTACATCTGCAGCTGCGCGAACAAGCCGTATGTACGTGTGGCACTGGTGCATGGGCATGCACAGGGACAGCTGCGCATGTGCAAGTCGAGAGACCGGTCTGGCTTCTAGGACTGGACCTGGAAACGGAGAGCGAGGGAGGGAGAGGGACGTCCACAGACATCAAAGACACAGATACCGCGATAGACGGAGACGGAAGCCAGGCCTCCGGTCTTCCAAGTCCAATCCCTGGAGCGCTCGCGCCATGAGTGTTGTGATCCTGCGGCATGTGAAATCTGGAGTCTCATCCGGTGCTAGTCTGGGCAAAGTCTCCCCAAACCACGAAAGGCTCCGCCCCCCGCCTGAGTCCCAGTCTTGGCCCTCACTGTGCTCCGGCTGGGACCGGGGAAGGCTCACCGCCCTGCAGCCAAGCGGAAACTTGGGGCGGGGAGCTTTTGATGAGCGATGTCTTAGGTTTGAATAACTTCAATCAGCTTAAGGTCAAGTTGTACTTAAGATAGATTCAGCCTCAAAGCAGGCCTCCGCTTCTGCCATGCTGCAGGCGGTCCTGGTGTGTCCTTGAGGGGACAGCGTGGACTTTGCGCTTAGGGTAGTCGAGCATTTTCGGGTCACATGGCGATAGTCTGATAGTGGTCGAGGGTGCATCGGGATTCCCCGTTCCCAGCCTCGACATGCCTGAGAATTGAAATCTCTCATGCCGTAATGATGTTCAAACGGCTCCGAGACATGTCGCTGCGTCAGCTTGCAAGTGCTGAGCTCCTTGTAGAGTCGGGGGCGTGACATTGACCGGTCCGACATCTCGTGCCTGGTGCGGGGCGCTTGCCAGATGGATCAACATGCTTCTCTTCCCTAGCAGGTCTTTCAATGGCTGGCCGCAGTCCGTCAAGGGGGCTCGCGGATGTGCCTCTCTGAGCCACGATCGGACCATGCACGTCCGTGCCTCACAACTGTCCGAGCAGGAAACAGAGGCCGGGTGCAATCTGTCGACAATACCTCTGTAACGGCGAGCAGGAGCAGGAGGGAGTCTACCCAAGGGGTTGGAGGACAAAGTTGCCAGGCTGATGCCAGCTGGCCGGCATGCACAAACAGCGAAAACGCTCTCAGTCGCGACGAGGAACCGAACTGTGACCACTTTCCGTTTTTTGGCACGTGTCCCCACGTCGTCCTCCGTGCAACCCAGCCTCTCCGATCCCTGTTCTGACCGCTGCCTGAGGACTGGCAGATCAGGTGCGAAGATGCGAAAGCAAAAAACACTACCCGGACATGTGTGGAAGAATTTAAACTCACGATATGCAACCTGCCTCAGCGACGAGAAGTGATACCATACGGGAAGTCATAATGAAACTGAAAACATCGGCCATGAAAGCTACAAGTGAGATCGTGATATCAATTCAAATCAAAACTCTGGGTGTCCAGGGTTTGGGCTCGGGTTCTGTGCATATCTCAGTCTATGCAACTATCCACTCGAGAAGTCGATGATCTTCAAGGCGCCACCAGCTGTGCAGTAAATGCACAACGCAGGCCTTTCTGACCTTCGATCAGACCACTCGCTCTTCTGCCTTCCGAGTCCAGCTACAAAAGCGTGAAGTGCCACATCGGTGTCGTTTGTAACATCGCTGCCTTGACATAAACCCAGCTTTTAACAAAGACGTAGCCTGGCCACCTAATGACCGACTGCAGTGGAGCCCTCTCGAGCCGAAGCTGCTGTAAAGCTCAGCATCTTGAAACTTGTTGTTGAAAGCAATCTCGCCTTTCCGACCTGTGCTCGGGCCACTCGCGCTCTCCCTCGCACCTGCCCAGGCTTCTGCTTCGTTTGCAAGAAGATGTACAAATGTAAAGAGTGATACAAGTACCAGCACGTCAGCACACGGCATTCGCATGTTGGGGATGCCCGTGGGTCTTGAACTCAACGTCGCCGTCTATGGACACCCCCATGGCCCCATGGCCATCCAGCAAAAGGGCCACAAAACGCAAGAGTCCCGTGCCTCGGAGCTCTCTCCCACTCCCCAGCATCATTAGCCTCAATGCTGCACATGTTTGCCATGCACTTCCGCACTTGGGCGCAGATCCAAGACCGTAAAGCCGCAAGCTTCCGACTGCTGGCTAGCCGCTCCGGGCCGAACATAGGGCGGTCTTGGGGCCGGGCCTTGTCCCCGTCTTTGGCACCTCTATGTTCGAAGGCTGCTCAAGCTGATGCCGGGCAGGGTACTCTCTCAACTTTCACTCGGGTAAAAGTCAAGAGCATAATCGAACCTCCGGGTCCAACCCAATGCACTCCTCGAGGTCCCCAACTTTTTCTCATGGCCAACGATTCTGCATGCTCATTTTGAGCTGCAAGGGGGCAGCACCATTGAGAATTGGTCTGACAACAATGCTTTGGAGGAGCTTAAGGCTGATGCATGGCTTTTAGGGAGATTGCTTGAGCTGGGTGCCTAGCCAAGCCCATCGGGAGCAAGACGAACTCAAGAGGTGTTTCCTTCTGATGGGCCTAAGCCACGGTGGATGTTCGCAGCTCAGAAGTCGAAGCCTGAAAGGCAAAGCCCTGCTGCAGACGCGTGGTAGCATTGACCACACAACAGTTGCTGCACCCGAAAACACTACTACGAGCGTGAAGCGGTCCCCAAACCCAGAATGATGCCTGCTGTGTACAGTGCAAGTGCTACGAAATTATGAACCAACGGAACAAAACGGTGAATATTCTTCAAGCGTCGGACCTGCAAGTGCTAATGCCGACAACACGAGCCTGCACAGCCCGGCATGAACCGAGAACCTTTGAATTGCTCTGAGACTAGCAAGACTTCGGCTCAATCAGCAGCTCCTTCTCAATCCTCAGCAGCGCCCGCATGAGAGAGTGTTCCAACACGTTGCGAAACCGAGAGGCCAACAAGGTCCCTGCCTTACCTTTTCGTTTGCAAGCGTCGGCAATGCCGGAAAGTGACCGGCACGATCAATGAAGTCGTTGCTGTGGCTAAATCTGCCAACGCAACTCGGATTCTGGGTGTCGCAATGCATAACAAACCCTCTGCGAAGCAGCAAACCCCAAACCGATCTTGGCTTACGGGGCGACTGGCTCCTTCCTATCAGGACTGCTTCGTGAGTAATGATGCCGCTTGGGGCACCCTGACAACCGGCAATGATCTCAAGTATGATTAAAAGCACTCTTCTGAAAGCTCTCTGAACATGGGGCCCGCACATCGACTGGTCCGTGAATTCAAACTCCATCTCCGTGAGGATGGGATGCGACTGCACTTGCTTGCCCTGCCGCAGGGTGAAATGAGGAAGTACTGGTTGGTGGCAGGGCTGTTAAGGAAGCACTACCCTCGACTCGAGTTCCTTTTTCCGTCTACATGCTTGCGTGCTTCCGACGAAAGGGATGGCCTCTGCCAATGTAACCGGGCAAATTCGCAGGGCAACTACGAGCAGATGGGATATCCGACCCAATCCTGCTGTGAGTTGGATCTCAAGTCCGATGCCGTGAGCTAGTTATCAAATATCGCTTTGGATGTTGGGTTGCCGGGCGAGCCGCCAGCCACCCCACCCAACCGCGATCAGCTGCAAGCGGCGAAAGTCGGCTAAAGGCCGCATGGTGCCGAGCATGTGTTGCACCAGAAGTAAATGCAGACCACCAGGCACGCCCACGCGAGGATCCTCAGCTCTTAGGAGCGCCGCTCGGAACCTAACTGCACCAGTCTTGTGGCCTTTATCTGCTCAAGATGGCGAAAGCGAGGAAAGTCACTTGCCGCTGAAGCCTCAAGAAGCCATTAATCGCCGGATCCCAGCCGTGGTGCTGGCTAGCCAGGTGGGAGTGCAGGCCAGGGATCAGTGTGGCCGTCTTTTCTGCATAGGCCGGAAACTCCTTTCGGCTTTGCAGATATGTTCATGAAAGCCGTTCTTGGGGGCCCCAAATATTAGCCAAAAATTACGGCTGTTCGGTGCGAACGGTCGACTGCTGCACTCCGAAATCCGACAATGCCTGTGCTTGAGCTCTGTCTTTTCCCAGTTGAGGTATTGAGGTGTCTCCTGTTCCCGAAAGCGTCGCGAAGGGTTCTTCCGTGCGGAGCCGGGTAGACAAGTACATAGATGACAAACATAGAATCGAGCACATGACCTTATGACTTGACACTTGATACATAGATGACAAACATAGAATCGAGCACATCTATGACTCTATGACTCTATGAACTTGAGGACTCTGTGACTTACTCACTTGACTACTCTATGACTCTGTGACTTACTCTGTGACTTACTCTGTGACTTACTCTGTGACTTACTCTGTGACTTACTCTGTGACTTACTCTTGACTTACTCTGTGACTTACTCTGTGACTTACTCTCTGACTTACTCTCTGACTTATGACTTACTCTGTGACTTTCTCTCTGACTTACTCTCTGACTTACTCTCTGACTTACTCTGTGACTTACTCTGTGATTGACTCTCTGACTTACTCTCTGTGACTTACTCTGTGACTTACTCTCTGACTTACTCTCTGACTTATGACTTACTCTGTGACTTACTCTCTGACTTACTCTCTACATCTCGGTATCTAATCTCTCTTCTAAAGCCAGGGGTGGCACCGTCGTCGTCCATCGGGAATGCAACCCTTCACAGGGATTGGCCACCTCGAGCGCCCAAACGCTAGGTAAAGTTACACATTTTAGGCGCCCGGCGCAACCCTTCACAAGGATTCGCCTCCTCGGGCGTTCAAACGCGAGGTAAAGTCACACATTTTTATGTGCGCTTCGCACCCTTCACAGGGATTCGCCTCCTCGGGCGTTCAAACGCTAGGTAAAGTGACACATTTTAGGCGCACCGCGCAACCCTTCACAGGGATTGGAACTCTCGGGCGTTCAAACGCGAGGTAAAGTTACACATTTTTCGGGCGCCGTGAACCCTTCACAAGGATTCGCCTCCTCGGGCGTTCAAACGCGAGGTAAAGTTACACATTTTTCGGGCGCCGTGAACCCTTCACAGGGATTCGCCTCCTCGGGTGTTCAAACGCGAGGTAAAGTTACACATTTTGCGGGCGCCGCGCAACCCTTCACAGGGTTTGGGCGCAGCTCAACTGCATTTTGCAACCCTTCACAGGGATTTGTATTTTGCAACCCTTCACAGGGATTGGCATGGTCGAATGCACGAACGCGAGGTAAAGTTGCAATTTTTTATGTGCATTGAAATGAATTTTGCAACCCTTCACAGGGATTGGCGTGGTCGAGTGTTCGAACGCGAGGCAAAGTTGCAATTTTTGATGTGCATTGAAATGAATTTTGCAACCCTTCACAGGGATTGGCGTGGTCGAGTGTTCGAACGCGAGGTAAAGTTGCAATTTTTGATGTGCATTGAGATGAATTTTGCAACCCTTCACACAGATTGGCGTTGTCGAGTGTTCGAACGCGAGGTAAAGTTATTACTTTTGATGTGCATTGAGGTGAAACTTGCAACCCTTCACAGAGATTGGCGTTGTCAAGTGTTCGAATTAGTACTAGTACTACTACTACCACTACCACTACTACAACTATTATTACTACTACTACTACTACTGCTACTACTACCACTATCACAAAAGAATACTACTACTACTACTACTACTACTACTACTACTACTGCTACTACTACTACTACTACTGCTACTACTACTAGTACTACTACTACTACTACTACCACTCACTACTACTGCTACTGCTACTACTGCTACTACTACTACTACTACTACTAGTACCACAACAACAACTACAACTACAACAACTACTACTACTACTGCTGCGACATAAAGTGACCATGCATAGAGTCATAGAGTCACGTTGAAACCACAGTAACAGGGATGTCTATATAGTGAGGTTCCGGAGCTAGGAAAGGAAGACTTCTGCGTCATGTTGGACTATACCCTAAACCCGCTAAACCTGAACATTAGTGTTCATAGAGTGAACTACATCAAGTCAAGTGCGTGGTACATAGATGACTCCATGACTCTATGACTCTTTCTCACTCTGACGCTATGACTCTATAACACTATGACTCTATGATTCTGTCTCACTGTGACTCTATGACTCTATATGACTCTATGACTCTTTGAACTATGACTTGTGCTTGACATGTACTCGACTATTTCTCGATGACTCTATGAACTATGACTTGTACGACTCTTGACTGTATGTGACACTCCGACTCTGTGACTCCGTGCTTTTGACTCGGTGACTCTATGACCCTATACACTGGATTCTATGACGTAGCGCAACACTCTTCGCTGATGATGCTTTCGGGCCAATTGTCTTCTAGTTTTCATGTTTCTTTTCTTCAGGCTGGCCGCCCTTAAAGTCTTTGGGGTCAGAGACTTGCTGCACGCCTGATAAGATCGAAGTTTAGGACAGAGGAGACCCTCCTCCGGGTAGCGCTGTGCCAGGTAGCTGTCGGAGTTGGGAACCTTGACGTCTCCGCCCTCCCAGATCTTTCCAGCAGTTCGAAACTCAAACAGCCGCATCCCTGGTGTGGTCGGTCCCCAGTGACAAATCAGTCTGAAACCCTCGAAATACTGGGCATGTGCTGCTTCAGCTGTGAGACCACAAAAATGACGAAGGTCCAGACCATGAGGATCGGAATGCTCCTGGGTGAGCAGAGCACGGGGCTTGCGTTCATCCCTTCCGAGCTGAGCGAGCGGAGCGAGCGGATCTGACGAGGCTCAGTGCACAGGTGGTTCCTGTGGCAAGCGACCAGCCTGCAGGGCTTTGGGAGGCCGCATTACAGACTCTAGTGTCCACGCTGAAGAGTCTCCCAATGTTCCGGGTTTGAAGTAACCAGTCTTACTGTAGATGGCCGAGTGCGGAAGGTCCGAGATCAAGGGCACATGTTGGGTTGGTTTGTCCATGAAGGTTTTTGGCTGTTCAGAGTCGAGCATTATTGTGAGTTCCTGGGGCTTCCCAGCACAACAAACACACAGCAGAACGATTCCGACTCGTTGCCGAAGCTCTTTTTTATGCCCTCTTTTCCTTTAACGGCCAGCAGAAGATCTCTGTCGCTTAAGCGTTTACTTTAAGATCGCACAACTGCAGATTTCAAGCACTGCCCGAACCAACAACGGCCTGTGTACGTGAAGAGGTCTCCAAAGTAGTTCGGGTGGATGCACCAGGCGGCCTAGACGAGCAGGACATGGACGCGCACCGTATCGTGCCTCTGGCTCCTTACATGATCTTCTGCACGTCTACGGCGCGACCATCCTCAGAATCCCTGAAGAGACTCCGGTAGTGATGCCACGTGGCCGGCCCGACGGTGTGGAGCTTTCCCTTGTTCTCAGGCTTGGCCTTAAACCTGAAGCGGTGCACCTTCCCGGCTTCGCATGGCTTCACATGGCTTTTCGGAGCATGCATCCAACGGCCAAAGAACGGGGAAAGAGCCACAACTGGCAAAGGATCACGCAACTGTCACCTCCCAACAGCTTCTCTGCACCTCGTAGTACAACGCGAAGGAAGATCCAAACAGATAGAGCCTGAGACTCTCCGGGGGCCGCTTCAGGGAGCTGGGATTCTCTTGAGCGCCGTCCATCTATGCCGTCGGAACCGAAACCTGCAGACATGCTCGAACTATGCATCCGCTTGCACAAACGGCTTGCGCCCCCTGGAAGCCAGGGAGCACCAGGCCAACCCAACTGCGTCCCGTGAAATTGATGTCCGAGGCCATTGTGCAGTAGCCTCGGACTCTGTTCAAGCGAGTACTGCTGGGCTTCTTGGGTGGGGGGAGCCGAGGAGTCCTTGAACTGACAATGTCGTCGAAGACATGATACTGACGGCGACGCAACTGGCATCATCCCGGTCTGTCTTCGAACACCGTCTGCTGCTTCGTGTGAAGAAGAATCGAAGGAATGTGAGACATGAGCAGGCCGAAGGCGCAAAAGCATCCCTGGCCATAAGGCCCGCTGGCTCCCACACAATCCGACGTGAATCGAGAAGCCGAACATGGAGCTGAATGTCGGGATGAGAAGCACGTAGATCACGAAGAGCCTCACATGTGGAGATGGAGCTTTAATTTTCGAAGGCGTCCGCGGCTGGAACTAAATAGTTCTGTGCCCAGCAGCATGCAGACTGTACCTGGGCACAGCCAAGTGGGTGTCTGCTGTCCCCAGATTTCCACCAAGGCCTCATTCAAGCGATGCCAAAAATGTGTCGGGAGTGGCTTGGGATGTCGGGCTCCAGACCTACATGGTCTGCGTTGCGAACCCTTTTGGATGCAGGGTCAGCAGATGTCAGCAGGCTATCCAACAAGAAGCCTGATTGATTAGAGCACTCCCGACACCGTGTGCTCAAGAAGAACAGATGTGCGGTACAAGGTACCAACCACCAACGCTTGAGTGAGGGCTATGACTGGTCCGACGAACAAGCCTTGACGACGAAGATTGCACCAATCAAAACCAGCACCTCACAGGACCAGCCAATCTTTTCCATGTCCCTGGGGTAACACGTAAGGCTGTGGCAGCGGAAGCGGCAACGAAGTAGAAGTAGAACGCCATTTCCGCCAGCAAGAGCACTGTAGAGCCCTGGCACGACAGAATCACACTGCATGGATTCAGAGATTACTCATAAAGCCGGCACGTGACCTGTCGATCAAACGCGATTTTGGCTCTCCTGCACTTTTTGTCCCACACCTGTTGAAGCCCAACACCAAACACCAGCCGAGCCGCGGCTTGCCACGGCAATCTCTCCGCACGGGTGTTGGTGCCAGTCGGACTGTGAGCGGACACTCAGAGTCATTTGCGCTGAGAGGAACATGTTCTCCTCCTCCATTGGACCCACTTCGTGAAGTCGCGGTCCAGCCCACAGCCTTTGGCATTCGCTTTGAGCGATCTCGCGGGAAGAACTTCAGAGGATTGAGATTCGAAACTTGACGTCACTTGACGTCTCATGTTCCTCTGTTTCTTGGCTTGCCTGTCGCTGGGTCTTCTTTAGTTTGCCCAAAGCTGCCCTTCCAATGTACTCGCCCCTTACAGCCACGGGCTTGCATCGAAGCAACGGTCGAAGCTCCCCTGCGCCAGACAAACACTTTTGCGATTTGTTCTGCCCCTACAAGGCAGAGCACCGAAAGCCTCTTTTTGTTTTGTTTGAACCCTCGCGTCTTTTAGCCCGTACGCCTCTATCGCAAATATCTGCACACAACATTGTAGCAGACGTGGCCCGAGCGTTTCCGTGAGCCTCGTGCCAATAGACAATGGCCAGCCTCTACACTCCACGCTAAACTGCAATTCGTCTTTGCCCCTGCCTAGTCCTCCCTCCTCGTGAGCACGAGCATTAGTGGCCGCTAGTGTTGCGGCGACTCTTCGAAGTGATGATGCTTTCACTGCAAAAAGCAACACAAGAAATAAAACATCTGCAGCGTGCCAAGAGACAGCAAGTCTCAGTGCTCTCGCCTGGGCATCAGGTTAAGTCGTTCATGCTGCTCTCGGCTCGACATTATACCAAACCCAGAAGCACTGGAAACGAAACCACGCATCCCGCACCAACAGAAACATTCGCAAGCTGGCCTGCCAAAGGCTGCTGCAAAGACTGCGCCATTGGGCAGGAAAAGCGGGTCGCCACGAGATCCAGACAGCTCCTCTTGACTGTCGATGTTCGACAGTCCTCTTGGGCCGGATGTACCCCGCGATTCGTGATGCCGGTGTTTCGGTCCATGTAGCGCTGCACACCTCTACTCGACTCCCCGTGTAATCGAAACAATGAACATTGAGCAAGAGCTGTGTAGACCTGCGCATAGTGTGTACCCACGGGATGCACCGCGAGCCTTCGGCGTGTGAAGCTCCTGCAAAGTGCCGCTCAGTGATGTCGACACCCTCTGACAGCCCGGCGGCATCATCCTCTCTCACCTTGACCTCTTCAAGGGACCCGGGTTTGGGGAGTCTCCTGGTAGCTCTTGTCCACCGTGCTATCGTAGCAGCAGCTCAGAGAGCAAACCTGGGCCGGGGCCGAGCCGCGAGCAGAGGCGCCGAGCCGCTTGGAGCCAAGCGGCTGAGCCAAGCGAGGCGCCCGAGGCCCAGGCCTTGCCGTTGCTGGTGCAACACGCGTAGTCTGCAGCTGCCTTCGCAGTTCGAAACCGAAGCGCTCAGACTCTCAAGCTGCTTCTGCAAGCGACTCCGCTCACCCCGAGGCCAGAGGCGTGAAGAAAGCCAAGCACGTTTGAAAGCACCCCTGTTGACCGAGGAGAGCCACTTGGCTGTACTCCACCAGGGACACGCCTCAGTGCTAGGTTTCACGCTGCCGACGTCGGAGGTTGTGCTTCAGATCACTATCAAACCTCTCGTTGACCAGAGCCAAGGAGACAGAATGACGCAAACAGGCCCAGGACCCTGGCCGGCTCCGGCCAAGCTCATCAGCCGTGGAGGGATGCCACCGACGCCTGCAAATCACAACCCCTCCATTGCGTGGCCTACAGCCTCGAACTCGAGACCTTCTGAATGAAACTGGCTCTGAAGGAGGAAATCCACAAATGAGAACAACAAAAGGCCGATCAGCCCCAGTGGCCGATCTTCTTGCACAACTCATCCACGAAGTGACAGCCTTGAGAGGGCCGGTGGTGAGTCTGCTTCGGAACATGACAGCCACTCTCATCCACCAAGAGCCGTGTCAAGACAGCGTCTCCTACATGCTTCGACGGGGAGCAACGGAATGCCCAAAAAAGAGGAGTCCCGTACAGCTCAAGCTCAGCATCAAACAACCCTGTGCCACCTTCCCAATGGCCGCAGCCGAAGGATTACAAATCCTTCCCGTTACCGAATTAACAGAGCGGCAGTTTCTTCGGAGGACGTTGTAGGAAGCCACTGGCCAAATCGCCTTCACCATTGACAGATTGCTTCGAGTTTCGCAGTAAGGCAGGAAGATCATCGGTGGCCTCCATCCCGGCGACGAGATTGAGCACTTGGACCTGCAACCACATTCACTTCGTAGCCCTCTCCAGATACCACCACAGCACTGACAATGGCACTCAGAGGTCTCACTTCTGCAAGGCTCGTGACAGCAAGGACTGGCCTTGGTCTGCAACATGTCCGGCAACATAGAAATATCACAGTTTGTGCCATGGCACTCCAAATTCTCCCGGTGACTGCCCGCCTCTGACTTTGACGTGAAGCCCATCGAGACCTCACAGGCACCGATGCTGTGGCAATCCATGGAGCAGCATAACGCCGCCGGCCCCTGCAGCGAGCAAAGCACTAGTGAGTAGCGCCTCGGACTGGTCACAAGCAGAAGCAGGCAATCTACGAATCGACGCGAACGAGGCGGCGACAGATTCCACATAACGGTGTCCCGGACCTCACGGAACAGCGAGGCATGACGCAAGGTTTCTCCGGGCAGAGGCAGAGGTGACTTCTCTACAAAGTTGTCCTGCTCGGGACGTCTCGAAACCGGGCAGGAGCCCGGTTCGCACACTGAAAACAGTCGAGTCGTGCAAAGGACGAAGTATTCGCGCACTGGGGAGGCGGATTCAAGTCCGCAGGACTCTTGCACTGGAGGTTCGCGCACAGTGTCGGATTTAGGCAACCCACCGCTCAGATTCGAAACCATACAACCCCGAAGCCGTCCAAAAACCTCGGCTCTCCCTACCCGTTGATCACCAGGCTCGGGCCGATGCCTCAAAGCTCATACCCCTACACCCTATGACCCAGAGTGTACATCCTCGAAACCAAACCCTCATGGGCTGTTGCCCTAAAACGTGGAGCCCTGAAGACTCTGCTCCCCTGGCTGCTTATCCTCCACAACGCGAAGGCCTATGCCTTATAACTCAAAACCCCAGACAAGCCTTATTTCAGATCGTCAAAGCCTCAAACCCTCATAAGCCCTGAAGTCCTAAACCCTAAAACTTGGATGTTTCTCCTCCGCAACGCGAAGGCCTACGCCGTAAAGCTTAAAACCCCAGACAAGCCTTATTTCAGATCGTCAAAGCCTCAAACCCTCATAAGCCCTGAAGTCCTAAACCCTAAAACTTGGATGTTTCTCCTCCGCAACGCGAGGGCCTACGCCGTAAAGCTTAAAACCCCAGACAAGCCTTATTTCAGATCGTCAAAGCCTCAAACCCTCGTAAGCCCTGAAGTCCTAAACCCTAAAACTTGGATGTTTCTCCTCCGCAACGCGAAGGCCTACGCCGTAAAGCTTAAAACCCCAGACAAGCCTTGTTTCAGATCGTCAAAGCCTCAAACCCTCATAAGCCCTAAAGCCCTAAACCCTAGAACGTAAAACCCTGAAGACTCTGCTCTCTTGGATGTTTCTCCTCCGCAACACGAAGGCCTACGCCTTAAAGCTTAAAACCCCAGACAAGCCTTGTTTCAGATCGTCAAAGCCTCAAACCCTCATAAGCCCTAAAGCCCTAAATAAACCCTAGAACGTAAAACCCTGAAGACTCTGCTCTCTTGGATGTTTCTCCTCCGCAACACGAAGGCCTACGCCTTAAAGCTTAAAACCCCAGACAAGCCTTGTTTCAGATCGTCAAAGCCTCAAACCCTCATAAGCCCTAAAGCCCTAAATAAACCCTAGAACGTAAAACCCTGAAGACTCTGCTCTCTTGGATGTTTCTCCTCCGCAACACGAAGGCCTACGCCTTAAAGCTTAAAACCCCAGACAAGCCTTGTTTCAGATCGTCAAAGCCTCAAACCCTCATAAGCCCTAAAGCCCTAAATAAACCCTAGAACGTAAAACCCTGAAGACTCTGCTCTCTTGGATGTTTCTCCTCCGCAACACGAAGGCCTACGCCTTAAAGCTTAAAACCCCAGACAAGCCTTGTTTCAGATCGTCAAAGCCTCAAACCCTCATAAGCCCTAAAGCCCTAAACCCTAGAACGTAAAACCCTGAAGACTCTGCTCTCCTGGCTGTGAAGCCCCAATCCTTTAACCATACAAACATACAGAGTGACCGTTCCTTGGCTGTCGATGCCCCAGACGGCCAGACGGCATGTTCCCACGTCCCTATAACAGTGCCCGAATCGCTGGTGTGTTTGAATCACGGTGATGTTCCGGCCACAGTGACAGCACGTGGCGATCGGCCGCCCAGGGCCCCCGGCTTTGCTTTGGCCAGGCACTGAAGACGCCGGTTCGCATCCGCTCCTCCGCCTGCGCATATGCGTTCCACAGAAGCGGAACCCAATATGTGCGACAGTTGCTGCTGCTTGTCTGCTGCTTGCACTGCTTGCATCTGCTTGCTGTCTCTGACAAGGCTCAGGCGGCAACGCGTCGGATGCGGAGCAGAGCGCGATGGGGGTAAGTCCGGGTCGCCCGACAGTGCAGTTCACGATGTCGGAGAAGCTCCATTCGAGGCCGTAGACCTGAGGGTCAGGAAGTTCGGCAAAAAGCCATCGAAGCCTTGAAGTTCACCCTGCATGAACCCGGGTTATCTACGCTGAGCCTAGGCTCCGCCCTTGCGGCAGGCCGCAAATCTCCCCATGATTTCTCCCGGCAATCGGAAGGCAACATAGACATCTTTGGTGCCAGCGTGGCACCAGCGCGTGCCACTTAAGTCTGACAGTCTGGAGAACCCCGTGGTGCCGCGTTGAAGAGGTGTGCATGCGAACGTGATGTTCCGGGGCGCGGATGCCGGATGTGACGTTGATGTTCAAGCAAAAGTCAGAAGGCGAGGCGACAAAGCCCATCGGGCCCACCTCCACACCGCAGTGGAAAGCTCCGCTGCCAAAGGGCCGAAGGACCTGGGCTTTGGAACCGGACGGCTACACCGACATCTTGTCCCCAGCTACAGCCATACATCGCGGTTTCCTCTCCCGCCATGACAGGGATTCATACCTCGGCTTGCTGACTCTAACACGTTTGGCAGTAGTACTGTCGGACTGCGCCGAGAGAATAGAACCTTACTCATCAGAGTGATGATGACGAACCACCACCAGAGTTGCCGCCAGTCACCAATTGAATCATCGTCGTCGCCATCATCGTAATCATGAGCATCGTGCTAGCCACCATCATCCTGGTCCAGCATCTCCGTGATTCCCACTTCCCATTCAGTTTTGCACTTGCAGTTGAAGGGTGACACAAACCTTTGCAGCTACTTCTTGGACGGCGACATCTCTCACGCTGCTTACAAGATTGCTTCTAGCTAGAGACTCGCGCAGCTGTTCCTGGTGAAGTTGCGACCGCTCTTGGTGCCAGGCCGAGTTGAGCAGTGAGATTCGCTCAGATGCTCCCAAGTCATAGACGTGGACACACACCTTGGTAACGCGCTACGCTCTCGATTCTGCCTCACGGGCATGCTGGTGATATTATGTTTTTAAATAGTCTTTGCCGGCGGCGCCCTTCTCTTCGGTCCTCAGTTCCCTGCTGGAGCCGGCTTGGAAGACTCGGCCCGGACTTCAACTGCCGCCAGAAGAAGTTGGTTAGTTGCTTTGCTCTTGCCGCGAAAAAACGGAGCCGTCAACCGGCCTCTCAATTACTATTCCCAATGCTTACCTTATGGGTTGCCCAAGCTGCTTCTAGTGCATGTGATGTTCGGAATGTACGGGTGTTGCCGGTAGGGCCGCTTCCCAAAGCCTGCATCTCCGCCATGGAAGCGGCTGCAGTTCGCACCTGGCGCCCGAGTCACATCTTTCCAAATTCGAAGCACTTGTCATCCAGACCTCTCCTGGTGCAAACAAGTTCACGGGTTGCAACCAAGCAAGGATCACCAAGGATCACCTATGCAGTTTCATGAGCCTGTAAAGGTCCTCTGAATCAGGAACCGCTACTGCTGTGCCAACCCAGACGGCGCCACCCATTGTAGCACCGGAAAGGCAGCGGTGCCTGAGACACAAGGCCATCGAGATCAAACAACGGACAAGGAGGGATGCATGCATGCTTGGATGTGCAGGTTTCGAGATTCGTTTTGCCAAGGCCTGGGAACACGAAAGGTTGGAGCTTCTGAAGCCTGAAGGAGCGAGGCCTTCTCGCAAAAGCTACACAAGAGTCCGAAAGCCGCGTAAGCCCGAGCTCCGAAACCAGAGCCCCTGGACCGGTCGGCGCTTGGGGCGCGGGCAGGCCCCCGGAAAGCTACCCCGCTCGGCGCATGCGGCCGCGGCTTGTGGCTCCGGCGTGGCTCTGCGGGGTTCTGTGCTTGTCAGGCATTTTTGCTGCCGTCAGGCTGGCGCTTCCTACTCCAGGGACCTTGATCTGACGTGACAGTGCGTACGCACGCTTGGCTCTGGACTGCATCAAGCGGTGAAGATGTAGGTGGGTTCAATGGTTTTGCAACCACTATCATGTCGTGGCTCTTGAACATGCAAGATCATGCAAGGCAGCTGCACGCAGGGTCATCCGCTCTTCCCGAGCAGATTGAGATTGCCGCTGGATGCGACACCACATGGCCGAAGCGAGCCTTTATGTGCACCCTGAACACACTCGACACTGCACAAACCCCTGACAGAGTGCCTGAGCCTTCTCGCACCAGCTTCACCTTCACAGCGCGGCAGGCTGAGACATGCGCAGGGGGTTTCAAGTCGGGATTCCAATCGTTTGGTGATACTGTCCAGCAGGATAGTCCGGTGGTTTCAAGGACAGGCGATTGCAATGTGCAGCATGGCGACAAACAAAGACTCCAGGATCACAAGGCACACAGCCCAGACGGCCGCTGCTGCAAGCACTTCTTTTCCACTCGGGCACGTGGGGCTCCGACTTGCTTCAGCCAGGTCCTGCCAACTCGGGTCGGACGGGGCACGGCAGACACAAGATATTACAACATAGGCTTGGAATACGAGGCCCAAATGACTGCAAGATACTGCAAGCCTGAAAGAACGCAGCAGCATCGGGTGTGGGGTTCCAGAGTGAACAAATCCCACGTTTCAACGTCAGCAGAATCAGTGGTGCATCCAGATGCCGCTGGAGGCGCAGGTCATGACCACAGGCCCGGTGTGTGTGTGTGTGTGTGTGTGTGTGGAACACCTGTTTGCCAAGGTTTCAATGATTCATTCGTATACTTTCATGCAGGGGGCGCGGGGTCCTCTGACACAGCTCGCGCCAACGAAGCTCTGTGTCAGATGGACAGGTAAACGTACCTGCAGGCCAGTTCCTGGGTGCTGGAAGCACAGCTGGATTGGCCATGAATATGGCAAGAGGCTAAGCCAGAATCCTCTTTACATCCTACTCCTCTGTGTTGGAATGAAACAAACAATCGACTGATCCTGTTTGTCCAGACGGAGGATTGCACGAGTGTGCTCTAGACGGCTTTCGTCGATCGTGTCGTCTACGGTAGGGTTGCCTACTGCAATGGCCCTGATCGGCCCAGTTGCATTCAAGGACCCTGATCGGTCCGAGCCCTGATCGGCTTCAAATCAAACCAAGACCCTTTGGTCTCGCTTCAGCAAATACTCTTCGGAGTTGTCATGCTTTCGCCTTAGGCATGAGCGCCTAGTTTTCGACGGGACTAAGTATCTGTTTTGTCACAGCAATGCCCCTGATCGGCCCAGTTGCAGTGAAGGACCCTGATCGGTCCGAGAATGTTCTCCCCTGGACACCACTCAGATTCACAGCTGTCACATGATCCAGAAGACTGCGCCAATTGCTGTGCCAGAAACGGAACAATGGGGGTATCATTGGTCGTCACACCCACGCTGCTCTCTTAAACGCCCTGGCTGTTTCAGCTGTCGGTCGGCAAGCACCGCAGGGCTGCGGCATTTTGGTAAGACCTGCGAACTGTGGATGCTTGACCGTATTAATAGGACATGCATCATGGGCTGTTAAGGGGGGGGGGAGGGGCCCTCCCCTCGGTTCTTTTCCCAGGGGGTCAGGCAGGTGTCCAAGTTCTTTTCTGGGTGTGGGTTCGCCATATCTCTTGTAAAGGGGTTCCCCCCCCCAGGTTCTTTTTCGAGGCTGCTACGTGGGGTTACCCTACCTTACTGCGGGTGCTTAAGGGTGAGTAGATTATGCTAGTGGGTGCTTCATGACACTTAGGAAGCACCGGAGACTGCATGAGCCGGTGGTGGCTCGCGGGACAAGCTGGCTCACGCAGTCCGTCGACTTTTTAGACGCCACAGCCGCCTAGACGGGTAGTGGTCTTGGTCTTCGTGCTGGTGTTGTTGCTTCGGCTGCTCCTCTGCACTGCACGACAACGACGACAGGAACGACAATGCGCAAGTAGTGCTAGTACCTATCGCCAGCTGATAGCAGCTGCAGCAGCAGCAGCTGCAGCAGCGACAGCAGCAGCAGCAGCAGATCAGCAGCAGCAGCAGCAGCAGCAGCACCACCACCACCACCAGCTACAACAAAAGAACCCGGGGAGGGGTACCCCCCCACCTGATAAAGAACTTGAAAAAGAACTCAGAGGGGGGAACCCGCCCCCCCGAAACACCTAAAAGAACTTGAAAAGCACGTTCTTTAAGGTACCCCCCCTCCCTCAGGTTCTTTTTAAGGGGCCCCCGATGGACATGCGCTGCAGGGCTGCGGCATTCTGTAAGACCTGCGAACTGCAAGCGCAGTCCTCTAACGGGGTTTGAAGTGCCCAATGTGGGCCACCCCTTATTTGTCTTTTCTTTTTCCGCATGTGTCATTTCGCAGTCACAGTTCCTTTCTATTTCAATGCTCGCAGCCAGAGAGGTTTTTTAAGCCCGAAGGGCGGCCTCCAGCTGCAACTCCTTTACTTTTCGTTTCCGTTACTTTTCTTTTAAGGCTACACAGCCAACCGCCCGCCCTCCTGCAAACATCTGTCTTTTCTTTTTTCTTTTCTTTTTCCGCTTCCCTAATGCAAAGCAAGGGCCGAGCACAAAAGCCTGTTGGCTACCCCGCAAAGCGGGGTGTGTGTGTGGAACACCTGTTTGCCAAGGTTTCAATGATTCATTCGTATACTTTCATGCAGGGGGCGCGGGGTCCTCTGACACAGCTCGCGCCAACGAAGCTCTGTGTCAGATGGACAGGCAAACGTACCTGCAGGCCAGTTCCTGGGTGCTGGAAGCACAGCTGGATTGGCCATGAATATGGCAAGAGGCTAAGCCAGAATCCTCTTTACATCCTACTCCTCTGTGTTGGAATGAAACAAACAATCGACTGATCCTGTTTGTCCAGAGGGAGGATTGCACGAGTGTGTGTGTGTGTGTGTGTGTGTGTGTGTGTGTGTGTGTGTGTGTGTGTGTGTGTGTGTGTGTGTGTGTGTGTGTGTGTGTGTGTGTGTGTGTGTGTGTGTGTGTGTGTGTGTGTGTGTGTGTGTGTGTGTGTGTGTGTGTGTGTGTGTGTGTGTGTGTGTGTGTGTGTGTGTGTGTGTGTGTGTGTGTGTGTGTGTGTGTGTGTGTGTGTGTGTGTGTGTGTGTGTGTGTGTGTGTGTGTGTGTGTGTGTGTGTGTGTGTGTGTGTGTGTGTGTGTGTGTGTGTGTGTGTGTGTGTGTGTGTGTGTGTGTGTGTGTGTGTGTGTGTGTGTGTGTGTGTGTGTGTGTGTGTGTGTGTGTGTGTGTGTGTGTGTGTGTGTGTGTGTGTGTGTGTGTGTGTGTGTGTGTGTGTGTGTGTGTGTGTGTGTGTGTGTGTGTGTGTGTGTGTGTGTGTGTGTGTGTGTGTGTGTGTGTGTGTGTGTGTGTGTGTGTGTGTGTGTGTGTGTGTGTGTGTGTGTGTGTGTGTGTGTGTGTGTGTGTGTGTGTGTGTGTGTGTCGTTGCTTATGGCACCGGTGCAGCCGGTGCAGCCACTCCTACAGCTGAAACTAGATCATGACACGCATGAAGATCAAGATCGCGAGACTCGAAGAGTAATAGGGAATCAGTCGGGTCCCGACAGTAGTCGGCCGGAAGTTGCAGCTTCGCGAAGGACTGCCCGAGCTTCGCCAGGTCCTGAGCCCAGCTCTGCCCTTCACTCGGACGCTCTGAAACTGAGCGGCTCATCGCTCCGAGCGGCCCCAGGCTCAAAGTCTCCCGGAGCCACGCGCACCGCGCGGGCCAGAGCCTCGCTTCTTTCTGGGGGCTCCGCTGAGTCTGAGCGTTTTTGGTTTTCGCCCTGGACTCTAGGTTCAAAAGGGAAGGTCCGCACGCGCGTTCGTGCGGCATCGCTTTCCCAAGTTTGGGGTGTCAGAGCGGCTTTTGTAAAAGCAGAGGGGGGCCGAAGCCAAAGAAGCCAAGTATAAGTATTTTGGTTGGCAAACTCAAGCCAATAAGCTTCTCCTCACACGGTCTTGCCGCCTCCCGCAACGCTGCAGAAGGGCCGGGAAGGCTAGCAGCTGCGTGGGCCAAGCGGGCGAGATGCTTTGGCCCAAAGTGGCCTCAATCTGCATCTAAGGGTGCACAGATGATGCTTCAATGACGACCAGGACGAGTCTGAATTGATTGCCACGAAGGTCAACCCTGCAATTGGGCCCCCGCCCCACGTCAGCTGCGCAAGAATCGTCGGCTCCAAGGCAGACAGCAACCCTGCAAATGGGAAGGCACGGGCGCAAGACGCAGCACACCTCGCGCCTGGCTGCTGCTCGCTGCCGCTTCGCCTTTTGCAGTCTTTCCTTCACGACAAGCTGCGCTGCCCATCTTCTGGCAGCCGCTCTGCCAGGCTGCAGAGAACGGAGGAGAGGGTCGCCTAAGAGACAAGGTGGATCCAACGGCGATGCCTCCAACATGCTACAAGCCTGGCCCCCACAACCACCTCAGAGCACTGCTCATGAATGAACCGGACAAGTCGAAGAATTGCGGTTGCCCTGAACGCCTGAAAAGGCTGGGCAGCTACATGCAAGTCGCCGGTGAGAGCGGAGTTCTCGACGTTGGGTTGTCACATCGAAGCCTCGGCCCCGTCCATTGAGTCACACTGAAGAAAGCTTTGTGTATTGCAGAGGCGCTTGCCGGAAGGCAAGTGCACGGGTTGGAAAGGTGTCATTACACTCCTATCACATAAAGATCGTCGCGTTGTTGCTCGACACAGGCTACAGTATTTCCACTGCTTCTGCAAACACTGCTGAAACGGGTGACACAAGAAATACGACTACCACAACAACCAACTGCCGTGCAACGTGAGGTGCACAATGCCCCCACTGCTCGACATGTCAGCGGTGACCAGCTTGGTCCCTCCCTTTTCTCTCTGCCGATTCTCCGCGGAGAGGTCAAACAAGGCCATGTCTGAATTCCACCGCTCTGAGTAAGCTGAATCTGACCTGGACCTCTGTGTTGAGCCGAGGTGCTTAACCTCTGCAGCTGCCAACGCAAGCAGAGAAGCGCCCTGCACGATATCTTCAAATCTTCAGGCTTCTAGACGGGATTCCCACCACTGCCGGCACCTCCTGAGTGTCCAATCCCAGCTTGGGCACTGACACCGTCAAGGAGCCCAACGATGCCTGCGGCGACGGTGGCACCAAGTGAGACTTTGGAGACTGCAAGACTTGATTCACGATGCCTACTACAAAGGACCCTGCATTGAACAACCATGAGAAGGCCCTGTCACTACGCGACATAGCATAGCACCTAAGCAAATTTGATCTTACCCTTACAAGCCTAAGCCCGAAGTCATGATCGAAACCAAAGAGAGGCCTCTGGCAGCTCCGCCAGACCCAAGGAGGTGAGCCGCGCGGCAACCGGGAGAACTGCGTCTGCCTCACAAGATCGTCCTCTCTCCTACCCTACTTAAAGGGCCGGTGTGGTTAGTAAATGAATAACAGACTTGATATAGTTACCTATCTCTTGTATGTTAAGTTATAAATAAAGTAAGTCTGGTTATAAGTTCAGCAACTATGCTATGTGGAGAGGTATAACTTACTAAGTGTTGAGGACAAGATAGTAAGTAGTGTAAGTGAATAAGAGACTTATATATGTTATAGGTGTGAGTTAATAAGTGACTTACAGTAACTCAGGTAAGTAACTTAGGTGACTTAGGTATTCGTTTGTAAGTCAGATAATAAGTTGAATAAGTTGACATGGTCTCTGGCCAGGAGATGATGGGAAGGATGTTTTTCTGCACGTCCAATGAAGTTGGAAGATTTCTTTGCATGAAGTTGGAAGCTTTCTTTGCATGTGAGAAAAATGATGCAAACCTTTCTTGCTGTGCTCAGAGCATGCATGCATATGAGAAAATGATGTAAACCTTTCTTGCTGTGCTCAGAGCAATGCATGCAGTAAGACGCTTTGCAGGGCCACCGGCTCGCAAGCAGTGTATGCATGCTGTTGCTCAAGCTGAGTTTTGAGTTTGCGGGATCCAGCCTTGCTTCGGTGATCTTCGGTGTCATCGACATGTCCCTTTCGCACGAAGTGAAGGTGCAGCTGCAGTCCTTTCTGGAGGAAGCTGCCGACGGAGAGAAAATGGTTAAAGTGGTTGAAGCCACCTTGGACTTGCTCAGGAAGAACCACCTGCTGTCGACCATGAAGCTGGAGCCCAAGCTGGTGGGGGTTCACCCCAGTAACCGAGACGGTTACGGGGTGAACCCCCAGGACGTGCTGGACCTTGTGGACAGCATCATCGATGTGGGGTTCGTGAAAGGCCGAGTGCATGCCGTAGGCGTGGAAGTTGAAAGCCAGCACGTGAGGGACTGGAACTCCAATCTCTTCGCTTCGGCCAACGGGGGCCTCGGCTCCATGGAGCCGGATCTCCTCAAGGTGACCAGCATCTGCGGCTCTCACACCAACTCGGCCTTGCGACTTTTTCGCGATGCCGTGCCACACTCCAACGAGCTCGTGTGCACCGGGGGGCGATTGAGCATGGAGATGCTGAAAAATCGCGATCCTGCTTTCCACGAAGCCGCGACCGAAGGCTTGTCGTGGGATGTAATCTCTGCAGCCGTCGCCCGCGAGGTGCCCGAAATCCTCGAGCTGGTCTCCAGGTCGGGCAACACCTCCCTGCAGAGGGGGGAGCATGAACTCCAAGTCCTTCGCCGAATTCATGGCCTCTACTGTAAGATGCAGGCTTCGGGCCAGACCCCCTCGTTTGCTTCTCTGAAGAAGCAGATCTTGGCTTCGAAACCGAAGTGCGGGGTATCCGTCCCTCACATGTACTCCTACTGCCTCAAGTGCAGCGGGGGCCAAGAGGCCGTACATCTCAAAGAAACGGAGCTCTTTGTGCGAGCATGCTGCCCTTCCTCAAGACAGCTGGGGCCGGATCTGTGGCAGGCTTTGTCCATGGAGATCAAGGGGCATGGCTCCGAGGCCGTTGCTTGTTTTCGCAACGGCCTCGTCAAGTCGGCATACGTGCGGCAAAACGTCTCTGTGGGGGACTGCCGGAAGCTCGCTGCGAACTTCACGAAGGTGAAAGAAGCAGACGAGATCATGTTGGCTGTGCGGGCCATGCTAACAGAGCAACTCGGGGAGTGGAAGGATGCCGGCCTGGTGAAGGCCCTTGCAACCATGGACATGTGCATGTGCAGCATGGTCCTTGGCTTGAAGCAGAAGGGCGAGAAGGACTACAGGACCTTGCAGGCCGTGGCCCATGATTTCTGCCTTGTGGCCCAGGAGCTCACTGGGAGGAGACTTCCCTTGAAATGGCAAGGCTTCGCCGAGGCAACAGCAGCACCTGCAGCGGCAAAGGCATCGTCGTCGAGTGCACCGGTGCTGCTTGAGTTGGATGAGCATGGTGCAATCAAGAATCCGGTGGGTTTGCTGGAATCCCGAGGCTATGCATTGGGCAGCAATGTGAGGAGGCGAGCTGACAAGACCACTGGCAAGATCCAAGATGTGAAAGGCGGCCTTGTGTACATCCAGTTGGACTCCGGCGACGTCGCGAAGGAACCCATTGACAAGATTCTGGGCAACGAGTGGGCCGTCTTCACCCCCAAAAGTGAGGCAGAGGTACTGGAAGATTTGAGCATCTACAGCCCTTCAACGAATGTTGAGCTCCAGGCCTTCATGCTCCAGGCAGAGATCGCGAGGCAGCTTCAGAAACTTTTTGATGAACAGTCCTCTGGCATCGACAAGCTTGCCTTGCAAACGAAGCCCCAGAAGCAGCTTCAGGCCTCGCAGGACATCCCCAAGGGAAAGGTGACATTGGTGCCATTGACGAGCAAGATCCTCCACAAGGGCTCCAGCCAAGCGAGCTGGTTCGAGGTGACGACGGACTGGACGATGGATGCGAGGAAGTTCTACCTGAGCTCCTCTTGTGTGCTGCCCAAGGAAGATGATGACAAGATCAAGCCTCTCATAGTCCCGTTTTTCTTCGTGAACTACACAGAGGACGAGGACGAGGCCAACGTGAAGTTGCAGCCCATGCAAGCAGAAAAGTCTTCCTCCATCAAGATCCCCGTCTTCAAAAGCACCAAGAAGATTGCTGCCGGGGAGGTCGTTTTGTGCTATAAGGCCAAGGACCTTAAAGCTCCACCCCTCCACCTCTCCCCCAGTGCGGCGAAGCGATCGTCGTCCGGCGGAGTGGCAGTTGCAGCGAAGAAGAAAGCGAAGAAGTGAGAGGCATGTGATTTCTATATATGCATCATGTGCACATGTGGATGCCAGCGGTTTTGCTTTCGCTTGGCATTGGAACGAAGGCCCACCCGGGCACAGCCTCATATGGCAACCTGACAGCATGATCAGGCGCTTTTCAGGCTGCAGGGTGGCACGATCGGCATAAGCAGAGGTCCAGCTGCATTGGTTCACAGAAATTGCGGTGCTTGAGCATGTTTGTTTTCTCTTGACAGTTGCATGCAAGCCTTGATTCAGTGCAGCATCGAATGCATTGTTGCAGCAGTGCATGCAGGTTTTGCACTTGAGTTGTGCTGGAGCCGCCTCAGCAGGGCAACTTTGCTCGCTTGGCAGGCTTTGCATCTCAAGGACAGACACAGTGAGAAGCTGTTGAGTCGCCATGGCAGAGGATCCAACTTTCGAAGTGGAGACTCGCAAGATCATCTTTTTCGGCAAGCATGAGTGGTGCCCCACTCAGAAAATAGTCGAGGAGCGGACCTTTTTCTCCTTCACGAAGTGGTCTGCACAGCTGACTCGCATGATGACCGGCAAGCGACTTCAGCTTGGGGGTGGGCGGGCTGCAGAAAGTGGTTCCTTGAACGTGCCAGTGATCGGCAAGATCTTGGAAGCCCGGCAGTCGGCCTGCGACAAAGCCCTTGAGGAAGCTCTGAAAGTCGAGGATGGGTCGGGCGACGAGGATGAGAAGCCGAAGAAGAAAGCCAAGAAAACCATTCGAAGGTCATCGGCCAAGGACCTCCACCTCCTTCCTGAAATAGTGGACGTTTCGGTGGCTGAATTCCAGATGTCCTTGCTTTCGGAGGGGCTGTCGACTGGAACGATCTGGATGGAGCTCCGTCCCGAAAACCTCTCCTGGCTCAAGTCTTGTGTCGACAAGGAAGAGGCAAAGCCTCGTCAGAAGAAGGGGGAGGCCAAGCCAAAGCAGTGATGCCATCATGCTGTCCGGGAGGTTCAGAGAACCTTATACATGTGGCAAGTTTTGTGCAATCTGCCATGTTTCAAAAACCCTTTTGCATGCACTACATTTGTGCTTGCAGTGTACAATGATGACGATGAAAAGTTCATGGGCAGGGTGGGTTCTGAAACCTGCTGGCGAGCTTGCAGCCCTGCCTGCGGTGCGACACACGAGCTTGCAAGTCAGTCTCTGTGTGTGTCCGTGTGTGTGTGTGTGCAGTGTGTGTGTGTGTGTGTGTGTCTGTGTGTGTGTTTCTGTGTCTCTGCAGCATGCAGTGGCAGGTTGCCTTTCCGTTTGCAAGGTCATGCACTGCACATGTGCGGTTTTTTTCTTGAGCTGTGATCATCAGCTGCTTTTCAGCTCAAGTTGTTTGCCTCCCACGGGAGGCTGGGTCCTGTTTTGCCATGCTGGCTTTCGGCTTTTTGGATGGCCACCTGCCAACGGCGGAGGAGGCCATGGAAAGAGGGATGCACGAGCTCTTTTTGTTTCTGTGCTTGCAATGAAGGCGGAGAGCTTCGAAGCCTGCGGCCTCATGGAGCCGTTCACGAACAAGGCCAAGGGCAAGTGGTACAACGACAAAGGCGGGTTTGCCCAGCCTTTTGCAGAGATACGGAGTTAACAGACAAAACCATGCAGGAGCCGGGATCAGCTGGTCCGCCACCATGGGGTGGAAGGTCCTGGGTGCTGGAGGTGCCATGGGCTCTCACATGGGTTTCGGGGTTGCAGGGCTGAGGGATTCTTGCATGAACTGGCAGGAGAGATCTTGTGGACCCACCCGGAGAAGCAGCGGGAGGATGTGCCGACCAGTGGCTGGGTCTACTGGGACGGCACACCCGGTGCGATCTGTGTGGAAGGCACATCTTAAGATGACTATATAATAGTATATATATATATATATATAGATATGTGTCTTTACATGTATATATGTATAAATGTGTATATATACATATATATATATATATATATATGTATGCATATATATATACATATATATATATATATATATGTATATATACATGTATATGTATATATGTATATATATATATATATATATACATATAATATGTATACCATATCATAAATCACTCTATACAATAACTGCAAATAGAATCTATATAGATCGACACTATAGATGAATATAAACCCTAAACCGAAACCCATATAAACCAAAACCCTTATATAAACCCCTGAAAAAAACCCTAAACCCAATATCAACCCTAAACCTATACATACCTCTGGGCAG